CGGGGTCCTCAATAGTTTATAGAAAGCAAAAGGATCCTAAAACCAGGAAGTTTGAGGGTTGCTACAGTAAGCCCATGTCCATTTGTCCTGGTTGCTGCACCTGAACTATTAAAAATGTTTTCCAACTATGGCAGTTTGCCCAAGAGCGTGACTACGGTGAGGGCTCCTTGTTCAGAAGATCTACTTTTCACTTTCCCTCCCTTGGTAGAAAGCACACCATGTTGGGTCATTACAGCGTGTAAAAAGTAGAGATGTTGAGTACATTTTATCTCTCCCCTAAGGCCCGTTTTATTTCCACCCTGCTGAAAATGCGCCTGAGCCTTGGAGAGCAGCCCCTGGCTGCTTGCTGCCCATTTATACCCCCCGCCCTTGAAGGCCGATGTCATGCTGAGGCAGCACCGCGGTTGGCTGGGGACTGTGACGCACAGCAGACAGTACTTGTCAGAACCATTCTCTGGGTTTTGAGCATTTTTAATTAAAGTTGTTCTATAACTAGCTGTGCTCATTTCCCCTGGATCTTACAAATCAGTAGACACTAGGAATGGTCAGGCTTAGGTGAGGATATCTAGCCAGAAGAGGTAAATAAAAGTGAGTGTATGAAATTGAGCTTCAGGAATTCCATATACTACTGCTTTTTAAGATAAATGCATTGTCCTTCCAGAGAAGGTAGAATTTATTTTAAACAAACACCTAGAAGGTATTTTTCCTCTGCAGTGTTTTTCTTCTTTCATTTTTTAAAAATAAATGGAGTTAATCATTCTTTGAAATTTGCAGTCAAGTGAAAGGAAAAGAGAGACAGATATTGAAGGCATTTTTTATAGAGTCAGACTCTTGAGACTGCCCTTGGGGGTTACCAAGGGTACAGAGATGTGATTACTTGCCTCTGACACGCATGGTCTTTTAAATCCCATTACTTCTTTGGATTTCGAAAATTGAATTTCTAATGGAAACCCAGCACATAAAGTCAAACCTAAGAGAAGTTTTAGATGAAAAAGGTGATCTCTTCGCCTATTTTGGAGCAGCAAGAAAATAGGGAAAAAGGTAAAATTAAATCAGGTAAAACAGTAATTGCACTTGAAAACTGCTGTACACTGTTGCATTTGACTTCAGCAGGTTAGAATGTGAAGACATCAATTTTATTTCTTTCAGGAAAAACACTTTTTGGCTCTTCCGCCACTTAGTTATAAGGAATGTTGTAAGGTCTCAAGTAGCCACAGACTTTTTTCCCAGCACGACTTTATGTTACACAGCTGCAAGAAAGCATGGTGACCAGCATCCTTGCGCATGGATCTTGGCAGGTGTGGCAGTATCTATTCAACCCGAAGTCTGGGTGTGACTTCTTGTTGTCTCCCAAGTACCTTGTGCTTCTCCTCCTAGTGTACATTGCAATGTCTCCTTCTTGTCTGAATCCCACAGAATTGTTTGTGAGGGCAGGATTGTGTCTGTCTCGTTTCATTCATTCTTCTGCCTCAACTATGTACTTGGCATACAGATGGTGCTCATGAAATACTTGCTGAGGGGATGGATGGATGGATGGATGGATGGATGGATGGATGGATGGATATCCAAAAGTGTAATTCTTTCTTTTGATGCCAGAGACACCCATGTTTATTTCCAGAAACTGTTTTTATTCAGGAATTAATCAATTCCCTGTGTGTCCACTGAAAACCTAGGTTCGTCACTATCCCCTTGTAGCCATAAGATCTTGGGCAAACCCTTCATACCCAAGTTTCTCTATTTGTTAAAAATGGTACTTAATGTTTTCAGCTCTAATATTATTTTACTTCTTGTGCTAAATATCTCATCTATTGTATTTTTAAAGACTACTTATTTTTTTATTTTATTTTATCATGACTATGTTAGTGTATTTAAAAGTGCCTTGTAGCTCTGGCCAGTGTGGCTCAGTTGCCTGGGTGTCGTCCCCTGCACCAAAAGATTGCTAGTTCGATTCTCAGTCAGGGCACATGCCCGGGTTGTGGGCTTGATCCCTGGTAAGGGGCATGCAGGAGGTAGTCAGTCGATGTTTCTCTCTCTCTCTCTCTCCCTCTTCCTTCCTGTCTCTCTAAAAATCAATACTTTTTTTTTTTGTAAAGAGTGCCTTGTAAAATAAAATAAAAATATATCCAATAAAAATAAAGATTTGACATTAGTGTCAGACACTAGCACTGGTCAGGTGGTAACACTGGAAACTTGAGATTTTCAGGAACTGATGACGCAGGTTTGGATCACCAGGGTATTCTTTCTCTGGTTGCCTCTAACGTATTGTGTCTTGATCTCTGTATCAGAAAGTGGTTAAGAAAAATTAAAAGAAAAAACATTCAAGTTAGTTGATTATTTCTTATATAGAGTTACTTACAGTGGTTTGATGGGATAGGAACTCAAAACTCTGGGCTGAAATGGCCCTCGGACAGGGTCATGATGCCTTTTGTGTCCGCAGTACAAACTCTAGGCCACCTGAGCTCAGAGCATCTGCACTTACCTCTTTAATGCACTGCTCACATTGGGTTGTATTTGTAAGTTTATTAGCTTTGAGCTCCTCAACAGAGGTATTTTGTTTTATTCATCTCCATGTCTTTGGCACTGTCTCTCAGTGTGGTAAATAGTAACGCTAACACTAGTAGTACTCCCGGTAGTGATAGTCAGGAAGATGGTTAACATGGCAAAGTGCTGACTAGATACTACGCATTGTTCTAAATACCTCACCTGCTTTAATCCATTTACCCTCACAGCAACCCGATGAGAGGTGCTCGTTATCCCTGTTTTACAACTGACACAGAGAGGGGAAGTAGAGTCACACAGACAGTAAAGGGTGTGGCTGGGATTCCAATCGATATCACCAAACACTGGCAGCCCAATTCTTCTTTTTTTGTTAATAGAAAAGTTGGGTTTATTTAAAGAAAAGGGGGTGGCGGATGGGGATACCCAAAGGGAAGGGCTACATATCACCAAGCCATGGAGTATTGGTCGATGATGGCAGCTCCTGGGAGCTGGGTTTCATCCTTATGTGCATCCCAATTCTGAATCACTGGGTCATATTTTCTATAGCCATTGCAATAAACATGTGCTAAATCAATGGATACATCAGTAAATATTAAATGGTATTCTCTAAGTACTAACTTGATTGGAGTCGTATATAGTTTGTGTTCTGCCTATCTCCATTTAACACACATTCATGCCCACTCACAGATTTGCTAGTCCTTTTTTTTTTTTCTTTTGTTTTTGTTTTTGGTATGTGCCCCTAGTGGGAACCGAACCTGGGACTCTCTGGTCCTCAGGCCAATGCTCCAACCACTGAGCCAAACCGGCCAGTACTAGTCCTTTAATAGGTGATATCTTCATAAAGTTTTTCTTCTCTTCAGTAGATTGAAAGGAGACATTTTGAGATTTTCATTCATCTTGAACATTTTGAATTCGACAATTTGTTCAGTTTGGTAATTAGAAAAAAAAACTATTTTTAAGAACATGGATCTCCATTTTTGCTGGATTGTGGATCTATAATTCAAATAAGTGATATTTGCCAGATTCAAACCACACTTTGTTCCCAACATGGTACTTAGTTGTGTGGATTCAAAGAGATGGCTTTAGTCATTCTATAGAATGTGTGATGTGTTTTTACTTTTCTGGGTCAGATCAGAGTTAGGTTTCTTGGCTTGTTGCTGAGCATACTCAGTGCATTTTTTTTTTTTTTTTTTTTTTATTCTCACCCGAGGACATTTTTCCATTTTTTGTTCAGGTAGAGTGGGAGAGAGAGACTAACAGAGAGAGAGAGAGAAACATCGATGTGAAGGGACACATCAAGTGGCTGCCACCCACACAACCGACCACGGCCAGGGACAAACTGCAACCGAAGTACGTGCCCTTAGCGGGAACCGAACCCGGGTCTCTCAGGACCGCAGGCCGACGCTCTAACCGCTGAACCAAACCGGCCAGGGCTACTCAGTGCATTTTTATTCACAAGCTTGCAGTGTCGTGTCTGAAAAATGGAGGCTGTACCTTCCCTTGTCATTGTCCGGTTGAATGCTTAGTACTAGTAACTTGTGATAAGCTTACGGGAAATGTCCACGCTTCAAGCGTGTTGCAGGAAAAGTTGCGATGGGCTCGATGCCAAATCATTTCTTTTCACCTGACCTTCACAGCAGGACTAGGAAACGATGAAATTGTTTACTTGTGAGGAATTGTTAGACCCTGAGTAATTTTGATTCACTAATTATCTGTTACCTTCTGTATTATAAAGTGTACATCACATGACGATCTAAGATGGTTGTGAAAAAAATGTACCTACATGCGAATTCAGAATTATTGGAGTGTATAGAAGTGAATCTTTAGAGAATAGACCAGGGCAATTAGAAACTGATCCATTGTCTATGTGGCGATTGATTTGGACCTTGCCACCAGGGTAGGAGTTGGAGGTGTGCCTTTGAGGGGACATATATTCCTGTCAGAAGGACCAGCGTAAAGATGGAAAGTAGTACAGGTAGGATAAAGGAAGTGTCAAATAGTTTGGTGGGCTAGAGAAACATTTTAGTGATGTGACGAAGCCTCCCATAATCTGTATCGCCTCTCTCCCTCCTACCTCCTAAAAACTCCCCCATAAACCATGCAGTGGAGGTAAAAAGAGTGCTAGGAATGCAACCACAGCTCAGCCACCGCCATCCCAAGCCTCCCTGTCTCCCAGTCCAATTGCCACCAGGAAGTATTCTTATATTGATGAATCGCTCATTTTCATTCAGAGTTACTGGGTGGAGGGCATCCCATTCCAACCACCATCGTGAGGCTTTTCCCAACTATAAGCAGATCCTTCCAGATAGCACAGATACGAACTGTAGGTATGTGCACTGATCACTGACTTTAATTCAGACAGGACACCCAGTGTTTGATGTTGGTGCCTATTGCATGGGAGGTGCTCAGTGGATTCTTTTCTGCTTTTTCCGTTTCTACTATTCAGTTTATTGTTAATTCTTTAAACTTTCTCACTTATTTTTCTTTCTTCTCTTTTAAAGGAGAGATTTAAGGAAGCTGAGGAAATATACCAGGCTGGAATAAGGAACTGTCCAGATAGCTCAGACTTACACAACAACTATGGAGTTTTCTTAGTTGATACTGGTAAGTGAAATTAGAAAGAATCTGTTCTGTTGCGATTAGATAATTTTCTCAAGCAAAATGGCAACCACCCAAATAATGCCTTAGAATTAAGTTCACTGGACTTGGCAGGACACACACCATTGGCCGTCCCATCGTACCATGGGGCTCTCATTTCTATAAATCTTCAGGCTCAGTTCAGTAAAATCTGCCCAGTTCTTATAATCACATCTCCAGGGAAAACTCTCAGGTGACAGGAAGTAGCCTTGATGATTTAATGAGTCTTCTTTGAGTATCATTTATACAAGTTTATAAATCTATGGTAACAAAGTGTTCCTCTACAATGATGCACAGCCTGCTCCGAGTCGAGTTACTGGCAGATGGTAAATACTTTTGTGCAGCTGGTAAAAATGCCTCCAGGGTTGTTCTTTTGTTTCTCATGTGATATACATTACAGAAACTATTATTGTAATTGATATTCTTATATGACAGTGCTATTTAAAATACAGTTACTCCATCCTATTTAATGCAAAACTTTACGGAGCAGGGATCTTTTTTCTTTATGATGTGTGCCCCTTGTACTGTTGTCATGTTATGAACACTTATAAAGAATAAAGAGATATTTGAATTTAATGCAAAAGCACCACTTTGTCCTCATTTACCATTACACTACCTACCCTAGAGTAAAATTTAATTTTAACTACTCTGTTAGTACGAAAAACTCGAAAGGGTTTTTGCTTTTGAAGATATTGGAAGTTCTTATGTTTTATAGAAGATGAATTTATATTGTGATGCACCTAAGAAACCTTATTTTTGCATGTAAATTGTTTTGTAGTGCCACCTGCTGGTTCATGAGCAACATAATAATAAATTCTATAGCATAAAGATGTAAACACCAGAAGCCCCCTCCTGTTGGCCTGGTCTAGCCCTCTTCCTTCTACTTCAGCAACAGCAACAGAATCCCACCCCAACCCCTAATAAATATCACTGACAACACTATGTATCTTCCCACCATTTTCTTTGTGTTGGTGTTTTTATATTGGTGAAATCCTCCCTATCACCAGTAACCTGGCACCTCCTACTTAAACTTGCAATAAAAAATGGTGCTCTTGAGATGTCTGTGCAGGTAATAAACATGTCTTTCCTCTTAAACCTTAGACTCTTCTACAGTTCAGTCACTTAGATACAATCTCACCAGGAAGCTTTGGAGAATCTTATCAGACTAGAGAGACTTGATTCTAGTTCTGGCCTTTACTCTCACTTGCCCTGGGATCTATGTCAAGTCTCTTAATGTCTTTGCACTTCAGTGTATGTATCTGTAAGTAGTAATTTTGTTGCTTCTAACATAACTCTTAAATCCCAAGAGGCAGCTGAATGGTATCAAAAGTGCCTGCAACAATCATATTAATTTCTTAAAGCATTAAAAAATATGCATGTATTGGACAAATGCAAGGTGGCATTATTATTTTTAAAATAAATACCTTTTAAATAAGAATGTGTTATTAAAAAGAGATTTTTTTAGATACAGCTGATACATGCTTATTTTAAGCAGTGTCTCAGGTATGATGCTACAATATAGTAAGTGAGACAGACCCTTAAAAATTGCTTCAGGACAGTTCTCTCTATATAATAACCAATTCTTCTTTCTTTTTTGTATAATGATAGTAACATATCTTTATAAATTACAACCACTGATAATCTCAAAACATCATATTAGCTACAGCAACGGCCAGAAAACACTTTGACTAAAATTTTGTATGCATGCATTAAAAAAATAGGGTTTAGTTTTTATTGATTTTTTTTATTATTATTGAATTCTTTGGAAATGGGAATAAATAGTGAAATGGTTTAAAGTTGGGCAGTGGCAAGAAGAAGAAGCCAAAATGCACGGTAATTCCCAAACTGAATAATGGATGGTATGACTGTAAGAACAAGGATGTACATCGGAAGAGAAATGAACCAACTTGTGTATTTTTTAACTAAGGCATGTTCTGCTCTTACCAAGGCACCTCTGGTTACAGGCTCTCCAGAGAAGGCAGTGGCCCATTACCAGCAGGCCATCAAACTTAGCCCAGGTCATGACGTGGCCATGGTGAACCTGGGGAGGCTCCACAGGTCTCTGGGAGACAACAGCATGGCCGAAGAGTGGTACAAGCGGTAAAGTTCTTTTCTTCCCTTTGTAAGTCTCCCAAAGACCTCTGCAATTGCCCATCAATTAAAAAAAAAATTATTTCTATTATTTTCTTAAGTACAGTTGACATATTATATTAGTTTCAGGTACACAACATGTGATTCTACATGCATATACCTTACAATGTGATCACTATGATAAGGCTAGTAACTCTCTGTAGCTGTACTGTTAATTACACTATTATTGACCATATCATCAAATTTTAGTTAATTGCATCAGACATACTCTTGGAATTCTAGTAAATTTTGCCAGTGCAGGCAATACGGATTCCCGTCTCCAAAGTCCAAAGAGAGTGATGCAACACTGTATCCTCCTCTCCCCCCATTAATGACTTTCTAGCCTGCTGGTTAGAACATGGTGCTAAACCAGGGTTGGAATTTCCCACTGTTTTCTGAAGTGATGGACTGCATGCAGCCCAAAGCACCAACAGCAGTTTCAGAGGTGGATATAAATAAATTACTGTGCATACATCAAACTGAGTTTATCACAGCTGATGGAAGAGATCCTTGGGGCTCAGTTTCCACCCTGTTAAGCCACTGGAGATATTCTTATAGTCAGAGGATGGCGCCATCACTTAAAAAAAAAATTCTTCTTGATATAAAAGTAAAGACCATATTGGAGCAAAGTCTCAAATCTGGACAGTCATCCCTAAATCTACGTTTTGGCCTTTGGAAATGTGCCTATTGGAAGGAAAGTGTTAATTCCCCTCTCTTAAAACAGCGCGCTGAAGGTGGCCCGCAAAGCGGAGACGCTGTCCCCTCTGGGAGCGCTGTTTTACAACACGGGCCGGTACGAAGAGGCTCTGCGGGTGTACCGGGAGGCCGCGGCGCTGCAGCCGGCTCACCGGGAGCTCCGCCTGGCCCTGGTGAGTGAGGGCTGCGCATGGGGCCGGGCACAGAGCGCGGGTCAGCGGGCCGGAGCGCGGGTCAGCGGGCCTGCGGGCCTCCTAACTGGAGCTGCAATGCTCTGATCTGTCCATTGTATGCACATCCGTAGAACCCGTGTTAGAGCCACTTACACAGGACATGAGGCTAAAGATACTTTTAAGTGTTTGTTTTGGAATAATGTCAAACTTACAAAAACTTACAAGAATATTAATAACTCTCCTATACTCTTTCACCCAGATTGATCCATTTACAGCATTTTGATGCATTTATCACCCTCATGGATGTGTGTGTGACATATATGTACATATGTGCATATTTAAGCATGCATTGTGTGCATATACATGTGAGTAATAAATGTTATTTCTTCCTGAGCCACATGAGAATTGTAGGTCTCTTTCCTTTTATTTCTAAATACTTCAGCATATAGTTCCTTGGAATAAGGACATTCTCTAACATAACTCCAGTGCGGTTTTCAAATTCAGGAAAATGAGTAACAGTGTTTCTTTATTTCAATTTTGGATCAATACTTTTGCTTTTCCTTCGACTTGCGATACATCAAACTTGTCTTGTTATGAACGCAGGAAATCATTTCTCTTTTGACACATTTAGTCAACTTTAAAAAAAAAAAAAAAGCCCAAGTCGTCTTGTTGGATATCTTTAATGTCCCCACCATGAACGGGAAATGCAGGCACACACCTAAATGAAGAAACAGACAACTGAAGCCCATATGCTGTGGAGCTTTGTCCCTTTCTGTGAGCCACAAACAGATGCTGAGCACTTCTGCCTGGGGGGTTTCCCAGTGCCTCTCTTCAGGGATGCTTTGTCCGATAAGATAACACTTGAGTATCTTCTAAGCCAAGGTCGGTGTGGTTTTGCAGGCTCAGGTTTTGGCCATGATGGGTCAGACGAAAGAAGCTGAAAAGATGACCAGTCACATTGTGTCAGAGGAGACTGGATGTCTCGAGTGCTACCGCCTGTTGTCAGCGATCTACAGCCAGCAGGAGCAGCACCGCAAGGTATAGAGGACGCTGGGATTTTTGGATTCTTGGGTAGAAAATGGGGTGCCCCTAAATGGGCTGAAGGCTGAACAGTAACAAAGCCGAGAAGGTTTGAATATCATCAGTTGACATATCCTATCTTATAGGTGTTTTTTCTTTTATTTTTTAAATATTTTTTAAATTATTTTTTCTTTATTTATTTGAGAGAGAGAGAGGAAGGGAGAAGGAGAGAGAGATAGAAACATTGATGAGAGAGAACATCGATTGGCTGCCTCCTGCATGCCCCCCACTGGGGATTTGGCCCACAACCTGGGCATGTGCCCTGACAAGGAATCGAACTGGTGACCTCTTGGTGCATGGGTCAGTGCTCAACCACTGAGCCACACTCACTGGCTGGGCATATAAGTGCTTTTTTATAGCAATCCCTTTAACTCCTAAGATATTCCCTGAAATAATATGTGTCTGGCTCATTCTTGGTCTGAAGATTTTATGTGGTATTATCTCAGTTTGTTTTCAGCCAACTCTAGAAAGATAAAGACTAATATCTGTATGCTTTATTATTTTCCATGTTCTTTAAATATATTTTTATAGACTCTTACAAAAAAACCTGTAAGGCAGGTCATTAACCCTGTGTTGTGACTGCTATTGTTTCTCTCCATTTTAAAAGTTACATAACCAGTGGATTCATGAACTGATTCAGCAAAATATTTATTGAATGCCTGCTATATGACAAACTGTAGTAGGCACAGGAAATAAAGTGGTATAACAAAAAATAACAATAATAATTGCCTTTGTCCTCATGGAGCTTACAATAGCCAGGAGTTTACAGGAAACAGAGATTAAACAAGTAATCACAAAATCAATGCAGAATTATAACTGTGCTCAGTGGTGTCATGAAGATTGACATGGTCCCTAACAAGAATATAAACAGGGGGCCTGAATGGTTTTAGAGGTCAGGTTCCCTGTGTAGTGATGTGAAGGTGAGGATTGACTTATGAATAGGAATCATTAGGCAAAAGGGGGGCAGTGAAGAGCATTCCAGACAAGAAAAGCACATACAAAGGCCCTGTGGCAACAATGAATAGCCTGTCTGAGGGATGGGCATGAGGGAGCAGGGTGCAGTGTGACATGCAGCTGCAGAGGTTGTTGGACACTAGACCTCAAGGCTTGAAACCAGGACAGAAGTGTTGTTCCTCACCCTGGGAGAAGTCTTGGGGTTTCAAGCAGAAGAGCAAGACCGTCAGATGTGTACTTTGAAGGGACCTCTGGCTGCAGGAGTGCGGCAGTGTGTGCTGGGAGCAGGGTGCGCATCAGGCACCTGAGCAGAGGCTGTGGGAGGGTCCCAATGGATGCATAGTCAGGGCAAAGTGTCCAATGCCGTATCTTATTTTCTTTCAACTGGATCACACAACTTCCCTGTAAAGTGTTTCAGGGACATTTCATTGTCACCAATGTAAATGAAAACCTGGAGTATAGGGAAATTATTTTGTCAGAGCTACATTGTTTCTCAATGAGAACATCAGAGAGAATGAAGAATTGGTTGTCACAACGCTGGCTAGTTCCTAAGAACAAGAAGTATACATTTTATCATTTAAATTAGTTTTTCTTTTTCTAATCTACATCTCTTCCATCTTAATTTCCATGCAGGCACTTGATGCCATAGACAAGGCTCTGGAGTTGAAACCAAAGGACCCAAAAGTCATTTCTGAACTTTTTTTCACAAAAGGAAACCAACTAAGAGAGCAGAACCTTCTGGACAAAGCTTTTGAGGTACAAACACTTAATAAAATATGTTATTAAATAAATTAAAATTAATACTCCTTCAATCTTTAACAAAGCATCTGCAGTAAATTCCAAGATCATTGGCATGTTTGAATTTTCTGATTAATCAATATAACATTATAAGTTTTTTTTTTTATAATTGAGCTTCTGGTTTTTGACTATTCAGAGTGCTGTGATTCTTCTGTATTATTTCTGAATCATCACCTTTAATGACGTTTGAAACATTCTGTGTTTTGCCCCCAAACCGGCTTCTCCCTCTCCATCCCTCTCCTTCTTTTTCTCTTTCTATTTGTCTTCAACAACTATCTTTCCCACTAGACTAGTGCCTGAATAGCTTTGGACATGTCCACATGCCCATGTAACACCCTCTCCTCCCCTTGCAGATTCCAACTCATCCACCAGCATACAGCCTGTGTCCTCCTCCCTTAGGAAACTCTGGACCATCCTTTCTCCCAGTGACCTGATTCCTCTGAACTCTGAAAATACTTGCTGTCACTACCAGTCATATGAAAGTGTCATATGTTACATTGTCCCGTTAGATCCTTTCCTGCTCCCCTGTCCCGGTGTGCACTGTGGACATGCGTGCATTTTAGCTCCCCAACTAGACTGCACCTTTCCCGTGCACAGGACCTGCATCCTTCTTGGTTCTAAATACAGTATGCTGCATCTTATAGGTGTTCATTATATATAGCTTTGGAATACAACTGATGCACATCTTGAAATCAAAAAGACATTTACAAGTATAGTAGAAATGTTCCAGATACCATACATTTTCCTTGTACCTATAAAGCCACCAGTTGGAAATAATGCAGTAAAAAAAGTACACTAAATATCTCATGGAAAAGTAATGTTGCAAATGGTATAATTATTTTTGAAAATAAACAGTGAGCCCTGGCCGGTCTGGCTCAGTGGTTAGAGCGTCAGCCCACAGACCAGAGAGTCCCGGGTTCGGTTCCCGCTAAGGGCATGTACCTCGGTTGCAGTTTATCCCTGGCCCCGGATGGGCTCATGTGGGTGTCAAACACTCGATGTGTCTCTCTCATATCGATGTTTCTCTCTCTCTCGTCCTCCCACTCTCCCTCCCGCTCTATCTGAAGATAAATGCAAAAATGTCCTCGGGTGAGGATAAAAAAATAAAATAAGCAATGAGTGACCTTTAAAATATTATTGGAAAACACATGAGAAGATAATTGGAAAACCTAATTTGACTGTGAACCTTTCAAACAGTAATGGTGGCATATTTGAGGCAGAAATAATTGTGCATTTTCTCTGCCTTATGGACATTTTCAATACCATCACTCTTAAGTTATGTATAACCAACATGACAATTTAATGTGTAATTAATAATTTAATTTCAGATATTTATATGGGGCCTTTATCTGCTGTATCTTATATAGTGTACTGAAAACAAAAGAATTGTCTAGTTGCTTGACCAGTGGATCAAATAATCATCATAGAGTAGTTGGATTTCTGAAGAATATGAGTAGGGCCATTAATAATAATACAGCTAAAATGTGTTAGCACTTTTATGTATTACTCACATGTATTAAGTAATTTAATCTTTACAACAACAAGCATACAAGAAAGTCACAGTCATTGTCTTCATTTACAGTTGGGAAAAAGCAGAGAATCAGTGCTTATATAACTTGCTCTAAGTCACATGGAGGATAAGAAATGGAGCCAGGATTTGAATCTGAACCCCGTCTACACTACATCCCACCTCTGCTGATAAAAATTAAGACACACTCTTTGTTTATTTTAGCAGTTTTTAAAGAGCATATAGTCTCTTAACACCTATCTTGTAAAACTGAAACAGAGGAGGGATGGCTAGATTCTCATTACTTCACGGATCTGGTCGGTTGGCTTCTTGCTAATGAAAATAGCAGGGAGCATTAAACTATACACACACATACTTGGCTTTGTTATTGAACACTTTGTACAGGCAACACTCATAGCCTTTTGTTTTAGTGAAGATGACTACACTTAAAATCAAGACTCAGTGTTAACATGCCTTTGATACAAAGCAACATGCAAAATATTAAACGTATACCTCACAAATATTACATCTAATAGGATATGTCTCATTCAGGCACGAAAAAGCATTCGAGAGTTAACTAATTCACTTTAAACATTGAAGACCTCTCATATGGAAGAAAAAGAAAAGAAAGGCTTTCTAATGACCGAAACTATCCCCTAGTGAAATAGATGTCCTTCGATGAGTGATGAGCACCCTGTGACTGTAAGAATTTAAGCATAGACCAAATAGCTAGGTCAGGGATATTGTGAAAGGGGACACCATGGTAGGGTTAAGCTATTTAGGAAGCTACTCTAAGATTCTATGATGATAATAGACATTTTTCTCACAAATTCCATTTATAGTGAAAAAGGCCAACAAGCACCGTTTTCTTGCAGGCCAGGGCCAGCGGGAAATGATTCGCTGTAATAGGAATCCCCTGACATCCTGCGGGCGTCTCAGTCTCAAGTCTAAACATTAGCTCCGCAAGGAAATTACACATTGCAGTTTCCGCTGCTTTAGAATCACCAACGTTAAAAGTTAATAGGAATAAATGGAACCCCATGTGAACTAGAAGCGGCTGTTCATTTTCGTAACCATTTAAATTTTCCCATCTGAAGAAAGCGGTGTCCACAGTTACATAGTGTTAAATTCTCACTTCTCAACCTGACGATATTTCTTGTTTGTTTAGAGCTACAAAGCCGCCGTGGAACTGAACCCCGACCAGGCTCAGGCCTGGATGAACATGGGCGGAATCCAGCACATCAAGGTAGGAGAGTCCACTCCCACGGGAACCTGCTTTTCCATCGGGGTTTCGCTTTCTGTCTGTCTTCTCTCGTGAAAGTTTGAGAAACTGTTATTAATTTACTCTTTGAATGATTTGAATACCCAAAACATAACTGTTTGAAAGTAAAATTAGCACAGTTTATGCTCAACTTTGTATTATCTAGATAGTCAATATCAGGAAGCCATTTTAAAAATAAATCTATATGAATTGGATTCCATTGTATTTATCGTAAAGAAAATCAGATGCACTTAGGAGAAGTATCAGGATACAGAAGATAAGAGCTACTTTTGTGAACTAAAAGCCTCGTGGGAGTTTAGTATAGCTCATTTTCCTGCAGCTTGACTCACCGTCTAGAGAAAGTGTTACATTAAAAATTACTCTACTGCCCTGGCCGGTTTGGCTCAGCGGTTGGAGCGTCAGCCTGCGGTACAGAGAGACCCAGGTTCGGTTCCCGCTGGGGGCACGTACCTCGGTTGCAGTTTGTCCCCAGCCCTGGTTGGTCGTGAGGGTGGCAGCCACTCGATGTGTCCCTTCACATCGATGTTTCTCTCTCTCTCTCTTCCTCTCTCTCCCTCCCACTCTATCTGAACAAAAAATGGAAAAATGTCCTCGGGTGAGGATAAAAAAAAAAAAAAAATTACTCTACTGTTTCTTACACCTAATGTATCTTTTATTCCTAACCTTTTACTGAAAAACCAGGTTTCTTGCTTGTGATTGTTTTGTTTTGTGAAGTATTTAAAATGACCTTTTGGGAGACTATTGTCTATAATCAATTAAATCAGATTCATTCATTCACCCATTCATTAGACAAGCATTTATAGAGAGTATCCTATATGCCAAGGACTCTTCTAGGCACTGGGATTACAGCAATGAATAAATAAGACAAAAATTTCTGTCCTTGTAGGGCGAACATTCTAGAAGGGAGAAATAGTCAATAACACATACATACATACATACATACATATATACATACATAAAATATACCAGATGGTGATAAGTGCTATGGAGGAAAAAAAGAGAGAAAAAAAGATAGGAATGTTGGGGGTTAAGGGCTGAAATTTTAAATTATTCTGGTAAGGGAAGGCCTCAGTTAAAAAGTAATATTTAAGCAGAGACCTGAAGAGAGGAAACCATGTAGCAAAAAGAAAAAATGAACATGTGCAAAGGTCCTGAGGTGCAAGTGTGCTTATTGTATATGAGGGGACAGGTGAGAGAAAATGGTAGAAGCTGGAGTCCGAGAGGTCACAGGGCCTGATCATGCACAGTCTTGTAGGAAATTGTAAGGTCTTTGGCTTTTATGCCAAATGAGTTGGGGTCTTTGGGGGACTTTGAGCAGGGAAATACATGTTTTTAAAGTATCACTCTTGTTTAGCTAGCTCATTTTCAGACTTCTTTCAGTCTTTACCCTAACAAAATAACAACATAGTGATTAGAATTTAAACAAAGGCCTAATAAGATTTACTATTAAGAGGAAACTGGTCACTCTCAAAACACAACAAAACAAAAAGGTGATCCATGACTGTATAGATGTGAGGGGATAATGGGATAGTTACTCTGTGACTATCAGTCTTAACCTAATAGAAGGACATAGATGCTGAATCCAAGCATTACATTTATCAGAGCCACATAACCAGAGCTCTGAACTTCATAGTTTTCTAGGGTGTCTGGCAACCTCTAGACGAGAAACATGGACTGAGTTTACCTTTAAAATAGTAGCATACCAATTTTAAATATATAAATAGTATATTAAAAAGTTGAAGTTTGAAATAATATGCTATGTTTTTAGATAGAGTGCACCTGCATTTTAAGCAATAGCTTTAATTATTAATTTAAAAAGTAAAATAGTACACTCAACAGTGACCAAAAAGGTCTATAAATATCGAGAAAATATTACATTTCTTGTACCCTTTTGGATTAACAAGTGAACCTGTTACTTTAAATTTAGAGGTACTTTCCCTTGAAAAGGTGTCTGGAAGTTAAAGAAGGACCTGTTGAGCACTTTACACATATCCAGCAGGTACATATTGTCACATACCTTAAGTACTGGATAAATTTGATGTTCTTATCCATTCTTTTCATTTTAAAAACTTACATTTGCATTAAAGGCTGTATTAAATAAAAGTTGCTCTTTTGGTTTAATTTGAAATTAAAATAACTCCTATCATACGGAGGTATTATGGATTCCTAAACTATGTAATTTTGTAATATTACTCTCAAAGTTTCAAAACCATTTCCCCACCTCTCTCTCTCTCTCTCTTTCTCTCTCTCTCTCTCTCTCTCTGTCTGTCTGAATTTCTCCTGCCATGGCTCCATTTGATTACAAAGAAATAGTGCTAACCTTATGAAATGATGGCCTCTTACCCTGAATTAATAGAATTGAAAATCTGTTTGTTGATACTTACGATATAAGTTCTAACCTTCACATTCTCCAGCTGGACTGGTGCTTAAAACAACTGGATTCTCCAAAAGCACCCACAGATAAGGATAAAATTGCCCATGCAGACAGGTTTCCTCAGTGAGGACACTAATTGGGTGGGAAGGGCTGTTTCTTCGTCTCCCCACCCTCCGACAGAGCGTTCTGATGGATCGGATTATTCTTTTCCTTTTTCTTGACAGGGGAACTATGTGTCCGCACGAGCTTATTATGAGCGAGCCTTACAGCTGGTTCCAGACAGCAAGCTGTTGCAGGAAAATCTCGCCAAATTGGATCGCCTAGAAAAACGATTACAAGAAGTTCGAGAAAAGGATCAAACATAGCAGCATCTGACCTAATCTGGAGGGACGGTTGCTGGCACTGCTGGAGGGGTTAGAAGTGGTAGAGGCCTTGCTGTCACTCAGCAGGGGGACAACCAGTGAAACTCTCCTCTCCCCCCAGTTCAGGGTGGCACATTTGGAGGCCACTGGCAGTCTTGTGCTTGGAGCCTTGCATGTCCATGACAAAAGACAAAAGAGCAAGCAAGGGCGAGGAGGCCTGGGAGGGAAGGAATACACAACTATACATTTGACATATTTTATTTATTTTGTTGCTTTAACTCCAGGTCCCCACCCCCTTTACATTTCTCTGCTTCTGCAATCCGGAGATCTGGTTCTCTTTTTTGTTGAACTTTTACGTCCCAGAAACACAGAAGTTGGAAAGTCTGTAAAAGTGAAGCATTGCTTCTTAGTCGGGTATTTCAAAGAGGATAAATCCTGAGATAAGCCATTTGGGAAATTCTACCAAGAGGTGGCTCACTGAATTCTCCAGAACCAGAGAGGAGTATTGATTAGGTTTTGTACAACCTTTCAGAATATGTGGAGAAAGAAGCTGTTGTTAAGTGAGCTTGATCTAATATTCCCCTAAGGATATTGCTTGTGCCCTGTTCAGTAGTAAATGAAATTCCACTCTGATGCGAGTTTTCCCCATTGCCTAACGTATCAAAAAGGAAGCTTCTGGAATTGTGTGTGGATATTCTTATCCCTGGGGGGAAGTCAAGGATCTTGGTACTGCGAATTCTTCATGGAAAATTTAAAATTATTTTCTTTTTCTTTTTTTCAAGTATTACTAGGGTAGTGATTCTGCTCTAAGATTTCAGAAGTGCTTTTAAAATCATAAATGTTTCCACCTCCACATATATTGTTATTTTGGTGGATAAAAACATAGTATATTCTACATGAGAATTAGTAAAGATATTAACTGAGAGAAATGTTCTACTTTATTATTGTAACATTTAGACATTGTGAGAGTTCTTATTTTTTTGCAAAATGTATTTAAACATTTAGGAATCTTTACAATATATCACAGAAATCTTCATAGATTCTAACTAAATGGAAAGAGAGCTTTATGGATTCGTCTTTCTAGACTTAATGAGAATTCTGTGCGTAGAACATGAGTGATATAAACCTGGAATTCTTGGTTCTGTATTTGTAATTTTGGAGAATGCTCAAAAACATCTAGGGAAAAAGTCTAAATTCATAATTTAAAAAATATATATTTATATTTAAAATAAGAAAGGCAAAGTTGAACTTATGAATTGACATTGTTTTTTAGTGTTATTTATTTCATAACTTATAAAATATTTAATATATACACACACACACAGGTTTTCTATTGTACATAGTGGTTTTAATAGAAGCTTTCAAACTGATCATACAAAAATTATAAACCTAAATTACAAGGTAGTTAAGTTTTAACAGCACCTCAGAAAAGTTGTATTGATTATTCACTTACTAAAGTTAAGGAAATTGGGGCTCGGCCTTCAGAGTTTGAGTAATAGTATATTTTGGTGTATATTTTGACATTGGAATACCTGGTTTTGATTTAGTCATCATCATAAAAATTAAAAAGGAAATAATCTGGGCAGTGCTAGTCGCGGTGCTGAGCCGGGTTCCATGGAGATGCAGCAGTTTGCAGGGACACGTGTCTCCCACGCGTCGGCCAGGGTATGTTAAGGAAAACCTCTGCTTCTTTTCAACTCAGTATCGGAAAGCAGTGTCCCTATATGTTTTTTTGGGGGGGAGGGTGCTCAAAGTAAATCTAGATAAAAGGAAGAAGAACTAGAAAGCAATGAGGCAAGGAATATTTTAAGTGCAACGGATTACAGAAATTGCAATAGCATACATCTGTTTACGTGCACCAATAGTCCAATAATGTTTATATTACCGCTATGATCTTCTGTTTCTAATACTCTTTTAATGTGTATCATACATTTTTTCAAAATGTTATTTAAAATATCCGCCCCCCCCCCCCCAAATATATTGCTGTAGTCTTTAGGCCAAGAAATGTACTCCAGCACATTTGAATAATGTACTGTTATTTATACCCACCCCCAAAATGAATAATATGAAGCTCTAGCTAAAACAATACCTAGGACTTTGATCACAACTTTTTAGAATGATCTGTAACCAAAACTCATACTTATAAAGTTAGTAGGAAAGACTGAGCCCCAGATTTTGAAAAGCACTTATGCCTTACTTGAAGTGCTGCAAAAGCTATGAGGGTACATCCGTGGGAGCAACTGAAATGGCAATTACAGCCTAAGTCTCTGGGAGAAAAGGGTCACGTGGCCTTCAGGAGACTTTTTCTGCCTTCTTTTAGGTGCTTCTCTCCACCTCACTCCATGTCTGTTTCTCTCTCTTCTTCCTCCCTTCCCCTCCCCCGCCTTCCTCTCTCTTTCCCTCTCGTTTTCTCATTCTGTGTGCGCACACCGGCATCTCTTTAAACATTAAAATTTAGCACTGTTGCCTCAGATATTTTTGTCCTGAGTTAATACCTTCTCTGAGATGTGGCCAATGAAATAATTCTCATAGTTGAAATGGTGCCTATAAGAAAATAAATCACATATTATATTTTCAAAGATATGAAGTATATTTTGTAACTATTTTTATTTGGTCCTTGTAACATGAAATAATATGCAGAATCCATGCTTATCAAAATTAAAGCTGAGTGCCCAGGCTAGTCATGGAGATGCATCCAGGTTGCCCTTCAGAAGCATGATTGGCATGTGAGTTGAGAGCCCCTTTCTGCAATGGAATTGCAGAGCCAGCTTCATGGATGTGCAGTCTACACAGTCCCTCAGGGTCCTGTACCCAGAAGTACCTTATACTTTTTCAAAATTGAATGCCCTGCTTCAAATTCTTAATAATTTTGAACAGGAGTCTTGCAATTTCATTTTGTACTGGGTTCTTAAATATGTGGCAGGTGCTGGGTAGCAGATAAGGTGGCCGAGGACAAGACGGGAGTTGCTTTAGTCTGGCTGAACACTTGATCCAATAATCAAGTATTTGTGGCGCTGTTATTCTGAGCATCAATCGCTAATTTTTCTCAGCTACAGTAGAGTTTCTCGTATACACATCTCCCCGCTCCTACTGCCAATCTGTGTACCTGTCCTTCAGTCCTACCTAGAACCAGTGCTCTTTGCCTTTAAGATCCCCATTAAGTGGCAGTCCTTGAACATGTCCTCTGACACGGGGGCCACGAGAATGGCTATACAAGCTTATTTCAACTTTAAGAATTATTCAGAATTTTAAAACTGATTCAGATGTTTTCAGTTTGTTAATGGCATTCATAAAACACGGCTCAGTGATGTAACATAGTTGAACTAAACCAAAGATTTACATACCTTGGAGGAAAAGAAATTTCATTGTAGAATCTCCGGATTCTAATATGCAGCTAGTCCAGGGAACTCCTGCAGGCTGACAACTTCAATAGGAGTTTCTGACTTTCACAAAAGAGATGTTTGTAATCTTTCACAATGTTAACTTTTAAATCTAGACTAAAATGAGCCAAAGAATTCTAAAGGATTGATTTGTGGCACTATTGGTTGGTTGAGGCTACCATTCCAAGACTGACAAACAGGTGAGTTGGATGGGTGGTTTCACACTTGTGGCGGCAGGTGAGCTATAATTTGACCTATATTTACAGAATTCTTAAATCTAAAATGGACAGGCATTGCCTTGCCATTCATATGTACCCAGGCAAGGTGCCCAGTATATAAAACTCGTATTTTTTAAATCACTCAAAGAAGGTGTCCATGACATAGAGTTTATGCCTAGACCTATGTCTTTCTTTCATCGGGTTAATTATACATGTTAGCTTTTGTTGATTATTTCTTAATTGTACTCATTCGAATCAGTTTAAGAAAACAAACAACTTTTGCTCTGATTTGTAACGGATTTTCACCTTAGATTAATCAATCTATAGGATATTAGTAACAACATTCAAAGAAAATGTAGTTATAGGTGGTTTGTTTTTAATTTTTTCCCTGATTTTCACATCACATTTACTTTGAGTAAACTATATGTTGATATTTCCTAATAATAGCAAAACTTATCTAAATGGCATCTTTTGACATTTAAGGAGAGCAAAATATATAGGGAAATATAGCTTTTTTTCATTATTCTTTAATTTTCTTATGTAAAAGAACAATATGTTAAATAATTTTCCAAAAATAACACTTCATTATTTTTTTTAGTTACATTCTCATGTAACTTAAAGAGAAGAAATAACTGTAATCAAAGGTATAGTTTAATATCAGTCAATAAAATGACACAGCAGAATTGATGGTATTCATACCTATCCATTGGCTCACACAAAAATATCCCATTATTACCACCAAGGATCCTTGCAATGAAAACCTTTAGGGTATATAACTCACAAAATTAGCACCTATAGTAGTATATAGTCATTATTAATTTGTAGATTTAGATCATCATTTACCCCAAACTGGAAACAGATGTCTATATCCAGAAATCCAGAAGTTTCTTCCCAGTCTCAGTAGTGCACATGGTGAATACATATCGCACTTGGAAGCCTCCAGCACGCATAATGTCCTCCTGGGTTGTCTTGCTGGTCCATAGGGGATGCACCAGTGTGGGAAACAGGAGATCTGGGCTCTTAGGAGCCGTCTCACCCTGGGCAGGTTACCAACATTTCGGTCATGTTTAACACACATTGAAGGACTGGTTAGTCCTAGAGAACTGCCAGGCTCTATGAGGCTCCTGATCCAGATTAAAAGCCCTCTACATCTAAAGACATAACTGATAAGCGTTGCCCTTTGGTTTAGAAATTCTTAAGATAATCGCCACAACAGAACATACACACAAACAAGCCTGAAAGTGACTGAACTGCCCAAGTGCTTTAACACGGCAGAGGAACCTCCTCTACTTTACAGCGCGTGCACATAGGAATGAGTGATTTTGTTACGTTTCTTGGGAGAACGATTTTTAAAAATTTTCTCCTAAGGAATTAAAATATCCGTAGAAGCCATGGCTTGCTTTTATAATGTGGATACCATTGGACTTGCTGTAATGCACACCAACTCCTCCTTTTTTCCAGGAGAAATGACCTGCATCATGTTCTTTGTTCATAATGCTTTTATTTCCTACCTTGATCAGTTGTATATAAATGTACATGTTTGTCACATTTGCTGTGCCAGTTAGAAATATATCTTCCATGAAGTACTTCTCCTATGTAAGTCTAATTATGTATACTTTGCCTAGGTCTTTCCAAAATAAAATTTATGTAAATGTTTATTTTATATAAAATATGATGAAAATAATTGTCTTGTTTCAATCTCTTAAGCACTCCATGATTAGTACCCATAGAAATCCATGACACCAGTCAGTGTCTGTTTTAAAAATGAAAAAGACCTTTAAAAAAAAAAAAAGCCTGGCTGGTGTGGCTCAGTGGTTGAGCATCGACCCATGTACCAAGAGGTCGCTGGTTCTATTCCCGGTCAGGGCACATGCCCAGGTTGTCTGGGCCATGCAGGAGGTGGCAATCCATGTTCTCGCTCATCGATATTTCTGTTTTCTTTTCCTCTCTCTCTAACATCAATAAAGAAAAAAAATGAAAAAGACCATGTTCCTTCCTCCCCTCATTCATTCATTCATTCATTCATTGCATCTCTCTGTTCTGTGTGCTGTGCATCTGCTCTCTTTCCCATGCCCCACAATGACTATTTCAGTACTTACACTCCAGATCTCCTCCCCTCATCTTGCTGAGCAGACACGTTCACAGAATAAATGCAAGGCAGAAAACAGGTTCTCCCTCAGCATCCTGCATGCTCTCTATAAACTCACCTGCACCCAATCTTCTATCCTGTTGCTGCAATGGAAGAAGAGGGCCCTACTTGGCCTCCTGTAGAACTTTTTTCTGTTCCTGAACCCCTCTTTCATTTCTAACTTGTTCCTTTTGCTGGTCCTTGTTTATGTTCTTCTATTTTAAAACACATATACAGGTAATCACCATCAAAATCATTTGAGGAGGAAAAAAAGCCTTTATTTCTCTTCATCTCTAGCTGTTACATCTCTCTCTGCCATTCAGAGCCTATTTGAATGACTTTTCTTCACCCATTTCTGCTCCATCGTTCAAATTCCTTCTGCATCTCAGTGATATCTGTCCCTGCAGCAAATACTCAGATAAAAAGGTCACCAATAATCCCCTTAGTGCTGAATCTAAGGCCTTGTGGGACTTTGGAGATGGTTCTAGAGTTTAGACCAGTGGTTTAGCTGGGGTTAAAAAACAGTTTTTACATGAAACATTTGCCCATAGTTTGCTCATTGCTTATGGGTTAGTCACCTAACACTCCTAATTTTACAACTCTCTTTAGAGTTGGGGCTTCCATCAGGAGTGTTGGAAAGCCTCCAACAGCAAGTCGTTATTATCCTGCCCCAACGAAGATATGTTCAAATTAGAGGCAAATTTCTCATGTATCACTAGTCCAAGCGAGGGTAGTCTAATTCACTCTTCCCGTCCCTGATGTCCTTCCTTTCTAACGGTTATTTATTTTTTAAATAAGAGAATACTTTCATTTGAACACTTTGACATTTCCACAAAGTTAACTTACACTTCAACCATCATCTTACAAATTTAAATCTAAATCTAATAACCTGGCTGTTGGGAACTATGCCATTTATACTGAGTGGCTCTTTCCCTACTTAAGGGAAAGACATTATTTTGTTAGCCTTGTCAGAGACCAATTCTTTATATAGAAGAACAAGGTCTCACTCGAGGCTATGAGTTTTGAACTCTGGAAACAAAGGAACCTGTGCTGTAGCAGGAAATGAGATAGTGTCCAATCCCATAGAGATTTCTGGTGTGAAATAAACCACTGAAGATCCTGCAAAGCTGTGTGTAGCACACACAGAAGAGTGCAGGGGGACATGTCTATGAGCCTCATGAGAAGGTTATGGCCATGAACTTCAACACTGGGCTCAACTGGATTTGGCACGGCACATGTTCGTTTACTTTTCTTCTCTCATTTTATTTTGTAAAACCTTTGTAGTAGTTTTAATCTCACTCCCTTTTGCTAAGAAAGAAAAGAGGGGTAGGGTCCATTTGAAGAGTCTGAGCATTCTGTGGAGAGTAGTGTGCCCCTGGTACCAGGGATGGTTATGATAATCTGTGCTGGATAACTACAGTGAGAGCAAAGCTCAGGGATGAGGGCGGTGAGGGCCATTGGTCAGGCTGCCACCGTACCTGGAGATTTCCTGACCAGTGCTCGAGTCTGGAGGTGCAATGCTTTATTTTCACATAGAGCTGCTTACCTTACCAAGCCCTGTCCCAGTGTCACTTAGACGCCCAAGCTGGAAACCCAGGTCATCTCACAGTGAAACTGTCATCCAAGGAGTCTCTATTTAAAATAACACTTGAAATAAAATGGTGCTACTGTCAAGAATAGTGCAGTCCAATAGAACCATCTGTGAGGATGACAGTGTTCTATATCCGCACAATCCAACGTGGTAGCCACTAGCCACTGGTGTCTCAGTAAGCCCTTGAAATTTTGTTAGTGTGACTGAGAAACTAAATTTTTTAAATTTAAGTTTAGTTCATTTTAATTTAAGTAACCACATATGGCTAGTGTTGAACCATATTGAACAGTGCAGCTCCAGGTATTTCAATGTAAGAAGACTTGAGACACAAAAATCGCAGACACATTTTTCAGGTTCATGAGGCAGGAAGGTTTGAGAAGTGTGCCCCAAGTTTGGGTGCCAATCACATTCCGTAAACTTTTCATCAAAAAGTGCCCCTCCACCTTTCACTCCCTTCTGCAGTTACAGGGGTCATTGTCCCGGCTAATTGTCACCTGTCTAGTCCTGTACTGCATTCCCTCCACCTTGACTGTCTTCTCTTTTTCTCACCATCTGTCTACCACCTGCCTACCTCCCCGGGTTCGTCAACCATCCTATCTCAAGGAGCTTTTCCTTCTATTTTTCACACACTTGAGACAACTGGGCCTGGGGATTGGTGTTCAAGTTAGTTGATATACATAGAATGTCCACTTAGCCTTGCCTTAATTTTTTGATAAAATATAAATCCACTACAAATTCTGCTTTTATTCTTCTCCCAATCTCAAGCTAACTTATTACAAATTAATATTTATGAAAGTGCTGACACAATCATCTTAGCAATGAATAATTTTTAATAATCTTAAATGGTGGATCATTCCACCGAAGCCGATAACACTGCCATCCAGAAAATATTGACAGCATAACTCTGATCTTTCATATCCACTCTATTTGAACACTCTTCGGTGGCAAAGCCTTCAACAGGCTACGGAGAAGCGGGAGCAGTACCGTTAAGTACTCATTAAGCTCTCCTGAGTCTTCCTCCCTTCAGAAGTCAGCCAGCCTGTGTCTTGTATGGGAAACCAACTTCCTGGAGCCTGGGCTTGGGCACACTGCGGCGTGGGACAGAATTCACCTGCACTGAGCCTTCTAGGTCACTGATCACCTTGATCCTGCATCTGTCCATAGGGACATCAGTGCACACGTTTGAGCGTCCCATCAGCCTTGGGAACCCTTAAGCCTGGCTCCATGGGCCGTTGGCTGGGCCCTGTGAACCCCAGGGCGGCCGGAGGGCAGCAGCATCACGGGATAACCCGGGGAGGAGATGCTGCGGGGTCTGGCAGCGGCAGGTGGGCCCATCGCTGGCGGGCGGCGGGAATGAAGAGCGCGGGTGTGCGGCGCAGCCTGGAGCCTGCGGAGCTGGGCCACCTTCCTCGCTGCGTTTTCTCAGCCTGCGTTGGAAGAGGACGGACGAAATCCCCGTGCGTGGGCGTCATGCGGGCATTGGCCGGGCTTGGGGTGCTGCTGCTTCTCGCCCTTCCCACAAGCCAGGTGAGCCAGGCGCTGGGCACCCCGGGTGCAGGTGCTGGTGCAGGCGGTGCATACTCCTGGGGCCGCAAGAGGCCAGGGTGAGGGCCTGGCAGGCCCGGGGGTCCCCGAAGAAGCCCTGGGGCCAGAATTTCTGTTGGAAATTCTTGGATTCTGGAGTTCAAGTTTGTAGGCACATCTGCTAACCCTGCTTGTGTTAAGCAGCCTCCTTCAACGAAAAATAACCAAGCTGAAGTAACTTATAGTCAAATTATCTGTCTTCCAGGGTAGACTATGTTCTCCAGGATCTTTAATGGAACCTAAAATGTGTACAGCTCACCTTCCCTGAGGAAGGCCCCCAACCGGCCACCTGGGGCAGAGCTGGGCCATCCTGCCCCAGGTGTCCCCTTTAAGGCCGCTCAGGCTGGCGGGCAGGGGAGTCCCGGGCAAGTCGCGCCTGCGCAGCCTGACTGGGGCTGGTCTCAGGAATGGTTTGAGAAAAGGTCGGGGACAGCCTGCCGCTGAGTGATGTCAGAACATGTGTGCCGAGCCAGGAAAATCTGAGCGAGAAATCTCCAGAAAGCGAACCCTAAAGTAAGGTGCTCTGTGCGCGTGCGCACATATGCTCTCCCACGCAGGACTGAAGTGTGGAATTCGAGCGGTTGATTTGCAAAGTACGGAGACCGCCTTAGAATCTGAGTTCTCCGGAATTATTAGTTGTTGAGATTCAGCAGCTGGTGGACATCCGTTTCAGGTCAGTAACAAAGGCACTGATTTCTTAATGAGAAAATGGTATGTTATTTCTTTCGTTTCAAATATCATGACTCCAGGTTAACATGTAATTTTTGTCTTGACCCCGCTTGACCTCTCTGCTAAAAAATTTTATTTCATAGGTAATATCTTATTAACCAACTTATATCCGCATCTAAGGATGTTATATCTTAGAAGAATTTATTTCAACTATTTCTGAAGTCAGCATCCATGGGGAGATGGATGTTAGTTGTAGTCCTAACTCTGGTCTGGGGCAGGTCTCCCTAAAATTAGGTGAGCAGCATTTCTCTGGGGGAAGCTTGATTCAAGATGATCTGGTGGGGACAGGGTGGGGAGGGAGTGGGAGGAAGGTGTCAATGGGGGGAAAAAGGAGAAACATCTGTAACAAAAATAAATAGCCCTGGACAGTTTTGCTCAGCGGTTAGAGCATGGGTCTGCGGTCCAGAGAGACCTGGGTTCAGTTCCCGCTAAGGGCATGAACCTTGGTTACAGTTTGTGCCCGGGCCTGGTTGGGTTGTGCGGGTGGCAGCCACTCAATGTGTCTGTCCCAAGATTTCTCATACATCCTGCTTTACTAACCAAAAACCCCAGAGATCCTCAGACATCATCTACAATTTGTGGAGTTAGTGGCGGAGAAAAATAATTACCTATTCTAATAAAGTGTCAACATCAACTGTTAAGTGGATGCTCCAAAGTTTTAATTATCTGAGTTTTAGTCATTAGGGGGGAAAAATACTGTGGAAATAACAGAAACTTGGCTAGATTAAAAGAAAGTACTAATAAGAGGGAAGATAGGATAGTTCTAGGAACAAATTTTATACCTTGTTTAAAAAAAACTGGTTTATGTACAAAAGAAGAAAAGATGCCACACAGATATTTTACACAGAAAGACAGTTAAGGTAGGGGAAAGAGTTCACAGAATGCAAACAGTATGACTAAAAACCATGACTTGTTATAGATCCCTATAATTTACGGTGAATTATGACAATTAGTGATCACTGAAAAGTATATCTTCTTTTAAGACTTAGTAATACTTACAGGTACATTAATCACTTTTTATTTACTTACATGAAACCCAGAGTCTTTTCTGGAGAAAAGAACTACTTATGGAACATTTTTTTCTTTGTTTTCAGAGAGCAAATTAAGAGTCTCGCTGTGATTGCTGAAGAGTACAACCTCTTTCAGAAGGATAAGCAAGAACAGAAAATTCCTGTCTCAAAAATTATTCATCCTGAATACAACAGACTTGGCTATATGAGTTCTGATATTGCACAACTGTATCTAAAACACAAAGTCAAGTTTGGTAAGTATGGAGAGTTATAATACAAAAAAAAACGTAATGAGGAAAACTGTGTTTATGAATTTCATACTAGTTAACTTTAATTTATGTTTATATATCTAGTGATTTTAGAGTGGCTAAGTTTTGTTTCTTTTCAAAATAATTTTTTTTTTTTTAATTTACAAAAAGCACTCTAGAGGCTATAAGTCCCAGCCACAAATTATATGCTTAACTTAATCAGCATTTTGTACTCCAGTGTCTTAGCTGGGTTGTGATGTAGACCATCTACCTAGTACTCAGCTCTAGCCAAGGAGTTTGGGACCTTTGAAAAATTTCTCAGAATTTTCTCCTTTCTGACATTTTTGTGGAGTAGATATCTGACACTCTCTCAGCACAGATAATCTAAACAATATGAATAAAATATTTAAAATACGTTTTTAAAAATACAAGCCAGTGCCCAGCTGGTGTGGCTCAGTGGATTGAGTGTCATCCCATGAACTGAGAGGTCCCAGTTTGATTCCCAGTCAGGGCACATGCCCAGGTTGTGGGCTTGATCCCCAGGAGGGGACGTGCAGGAGGCAGTCCATCAGTGTTTCTCTCTCCCATCAATATTTCTATCTTTCTCTCTCTCCCTAAAAAAAAAAAAAAAAAAGTTGATACAAACATATTTTTTTAAAAATACAAGAAAGGAAAGTGTTCGTGACTAAAAACAATGAAAGAACACACATCTAGAGTAGTTAGCCAGGCACTGAAGCAATCGACTGAAGTTGAGGCATCTAATTGATATTTTTAGAACCTAGAGCTTTAATTGGCCATGTAAGGAGCCTGGATGGGAGTAGGGATCAGTGATGGGAAATTCTGATTGGAGTCTCCCATGTAACCGGGACTTCCTGAAAGGTGATACGTTAGAAAAGGGGTGGGGGTGGGGGGGTTATACCACACTCAGTGAGATAATAAGGAAACTTACATGCTTGAACCTTGGCCCTGGACAGAGGGTTCTCCAAAGAATCTGTAATCATGAGCAAACCCTCATTCAGGTTTGATACTGAAATTTACATTACCTGTGACCCCAAACTCCAAGCCAAGACTTTAAAGTTGTTCCAGGTGAGTAATTCAGGACTTCTGGCAGAAGCAAAGATAAATCCTTTCTGAAGAGAATAACCTTAAATCTCAGCTTCAATGTCCATCCATAAAGTTTTAATGAATGTGAACACACAATTAAATCAAAAGCATGCAGAGAAAGTTGACACCAAAGAGAGAATCAGAAATAATAACCAGTCTTTCTAAGATTATAGATGTTAAAATAAGATACATAATATGAAGTATGTCTTACTCAAGTTTAAATTAAGTTAAGGCCTATCAAAAATTACTAAAAAACAGAAAACTATTAACTGAAGAGGGAGATTTGAAAGGAGCCAATAAAACACTAAAGTATGAGTATATAATTGAAATTAGAAACACAGTAGCTGAATTAGTTGGCAGATTAGATCAGGTATTAGGAACTAAAAGTCTGAAATAATTATCTAAAAGAGACAAAGAGAGGAAGAGACAGAGAACATATATCGAAAGCATTTAGTAAACATCCAGTTTGGGCTTTAGAAAAAAATATATAGGTAATGGGAGAGAAAGGCTATAATTTAAGAGAAAGTGGTTGAGGGCTAATCATAACTGATGAGACACAAATCTTCAGATTTAAGGAGTTCAATAATTTTAAACTATAATATTAAAAAACATATAGAAATATGTAATGCTGAAACTATAACATGCTCAAAACAAAGAATGGATCTCAGAAGCATCCAGAAGAAAAAACTATGTTACAAAAAAGGAATGCCAATTAAACTGACAGCTAATTTTTCAACAGCAGTAATGAAAGTCAGTAGACCATAGTACAAGGTCATCAAAATACTGAGAGAATAACTCAAACTAGATTTGTATTTAAAAAAACTATTGGACCCTGGCCAGTTAGGCTCAGCAGTTAGAGCATCAGTTTGTGGACCAAAAAATCTCGAGTTTGATTCCTGTCAAGGGCAAGCACCTCGGTTGTGGTTTGGTCCCAGGTCCTGTTCAGGGTCATGCAGGAGACAGCCAATCAAGGTGTCTCTCCCACATCAATGTTTCTCTCTCTCTCTCTCTCTCTCTCTCTCTCTCTCTCTCCCTCTCTCTCTCTCCCTCTCTCTCTTCCTCCCTCCCACTCTATCTAAAAATCAGTGGAAAAATATCCTTGGGTGAGGATTAAAAACAAAACAAAACTATTGATTTTTTTTCTGCTCCCCTTTATAGAAACATTCTATGTAGATCCAATTATGTTAGTATGTCAATTTCCTATCCTCAGTTCTCATAATTGCATGTATTAGGTTTGAGATGTCTATTAGACATCCAAGTCGATCAGACTTTCAACTGACTGTATTACTCTACCAAATTTGCTCTTGTCACAGTCACCAATGAAACTCCATGTTGCTACATTTAAAGGTAAATTCTCAATCCTCAGTTTACTTGATAGGACCTTTGAAAGAGTAGTGTATAGACTCCTAGAAACATTTTCTTCACTTGAATTCCAAGAGTCCTTTGGTTTTCCTTCTACTCCTTTATACCCTTTTCGTAGTTTTCTGTGATGATCCCTCCTGTTCTTTGTGACCCCTGAATGTCGCGGTGCCCCAGGGCTCAGTCCTTTCGCCTCTCCTCTACCTGTGCTGACTCCCTTGGTGATCCCATCCAGCATCAAGGTTTGCTGAGCTATACAAGATCTAGGCTTTAAACACCATCTACTTGAAGATTACCCCACATGTTATATATCTAGCACAGGTTTCTTGTTTTTTTTTATCCTCACTCAAAGACATTTTTCCATTTTTTGTTCAGACAGAGTGGGAGGGAAAGAGAGAGAGAAGCACTGATGTGAAAGGGACACATCAAGTGGCTGCCACCCGCACTACCAACCAGGGCTGGGGACAAACCGCAACCGAGACGTGCCCTTCGTGGGAACCGAACCCGGGTCTCTCTGGACCACAGGCCGACACTCTAACCACTGAGCAAACCGGCCAGGGCGGTTTCTTTATATTATATAAATACTGCTGGGATTAATAAGGATCATATAGTTAACTGTCTAATGGTCATCTGCCTGGAAGGATAATAGGCATCTCAAACTTAATATGTTTACAACAAAGTCTTGATTATCCCCGATATCCTAAATCTGTTCTACCTATAGCATTTCATCCTAACTAATAAAAACTCTACCCTGCCATTTGTTTAAGCTAAAAACTTTGCATTCATTCTTCTTTCTCTCACATTCTACATCTAATCCACCGGAAAATCCCATTGCTTCTGCCTTTCCTTCTCCACTCTTACCTGTTTCAGGCTATCATTATTCTTGCATGGGTTAATTCTAGCTTATTTTATTTTTTAAAATATGTTTCCATTGATTTTTAGAGAGAGAAAAGAAGGGAGAGGGAAAGACAGAAAGAAACATCGATGTGAGAGAAAGAAAGATCAATTGGCTGCCTCCCATATGCACTCCGACCAGGGATCAAACCCACAACCTGGATATGTGCCCTGACCGGGAATCGAACCCATGAGTGCACCGGACAATACTCAACCAACTGAACCACACCAGCCAGGGCTGGGTTAATTTTAATGGTCTCTTAAATTGTCAGCTTTCTCTGTTGCATCACTAATGTTTATTATTATTAACCCAGCAGCCAGAATAATACTTTTGAAATGTGTCAGATTATATCACCCTGTTCAAAACACTTCAGTGGTTCTCCATTCATACAAATGGAAATCAATATTCTTATTATCTGATATCTCCCTCTTCCTAGCCCAAAGTCTAACCTCTTTTTGTGTGCGCTTTTGTACTGAATATTCTTTTGTTTATCTGCTCCAGGCATCCTGGCCTCCCCACTGTTCCTCAAACAATATGACAAGACTCCACTACAGGGATTTCCATCCTGTTTCTTCTTCTTCAAATACTTTCCGCCAAGATAACCACACGGTTCCTTCCCCCAGATTCTTTAAGGCTTTGTTCAAATGTTACAGGCTCAATGAGACTTGTCATGACTATCCTATTTAAAATTATACCTCCCATACCATTCTCTTTAATCCCCAGACTTACCTTCTTCACCCCACTGTCCTCTCCGCACCAACACACACACACACACACACACACACACACACACGCACGCACACAGTTCTGCCAGGGCAGGAATTTTTTTTAATTCTGCTTATTCACTGAGGCCTAGAAGAGTGCTTGCCATACAGTAATGCTCAATTTACCACTGAGAGAAAAACTATTCCTTAAAAACAAGGGTACACCTTAAAATATTAGTCGTAGTTTTGGGGGGCCATTGTAGTGGGTAAAATAATGAGTTATGTTTTTCCTTGTTTTACTTTTCCTGCATTTTTCTAAATTTCCATATGAAATAATTTTTTTATGAGAGAGGAAAACTTTGAAAATGTATGTCAATATAACATTTAGGAATAAATTGTAGAAGACAAGAAATCAACCAATGTCACTTTCCAAATGTATTCAGAATCACTTGTCTGTGAACCTTATGATTTCTGTTTTGTTGCTGTTGTTTTTTAAGGAATTTCTATTCAGCCAATCCATCTTCCCCATGGGGGTGATACATTTGAAGAAGGGATTCTTTGCATGACTAGTGGATGGAGCAAGATTTCAGAGAGCAAGAGGCATAAAACTATACCATAGTATTTCTGTATATTCAGGCCCAGTTGTATGCCCAGTAGAAGCAAGAGTTTTGTTAGCCATGAGTAATACATTTACCCTGTGTTTTTCCTTTCCTCTGAGTTCTGACCCAGTGAAGATTTGTGTTTTTTTCACCATAGAAAAGTCTATGTTTAAGGCTCACATAAAACTCCTGCTGCCATTTTTGTTAGTGTGTCAGATTAAACAGAGGTAACTATAATATAGAAAGAAGAATACAAGAAAGGGATAATTAGGAAATAGTAAAAATAGCTATGCTTCCTTATCTTTAATATTGTGATTTTTAAAAAAGAACAAAAAATTTTACACAATATTGCTTTATTGACTTATGTTTTTCTCTTGGGGAAACATTCAAGCACATATTCAGAAAAGCCACAGTCACCTCTGTTACCTTAAATATATGCTGGATGTTTTTCAAAAATATCCTTTATCACATATATGACTTTAAGAAAGAATATAATTCACTCCTAAGAAAATAAGTACTTCTACATTTTAGTGAAACATCTGTTTGAAATAGTTTTAAATCTGTAGACTTCTTATGAATTGTTTCAATGAGGACAGTTGTTGACTAAATTATCAATCCCTTCTCCACAGCATCAGAAAATTCAAATATCCTTCAAGAACTGGAACTTCCTATCATAGATGACAGAATATATAATACTGTGCTCACAGGTATGGACCTTCCTCCCCTGGGAAGGACCATGTTGTGTGCTGGTTCTCCTGATGGAGAAAAGGATGCCCGCCAGGTACAAAGCATAAACCTGCCCAGTTATTCAATAACACATGTGTGATGGTGGATTCTGCCTTTCCCCGTGAGCTGCTTTTGGGGGTTACTGCTGCAAATCCCCTTTTCCTTTATCTTTCCACCTGGCTTCTGCTGAAACGGTTTACTTAACCTGGGCTGAGAGAATTCTCTCCTGTCCAAAGTCCAGTCTTTCCCCCATACCTCCTTTTTTCTAGGGGAAGAGGTGGGGGAGGTGGTTTAAACATTTCCAACCTAATAGAATCAAGCAAGATGACCACTTTGGCAAACAAGGTTCAACTGTGAATTATTTTTTATTTTACCTTTTATTTAAACATTTTAAGCATTTATTGCAGAATGCAATGTTTCCAGAGAGTTTTACCAAAGATAGCATAAGTATTGTAACTGTTGGGTAAAAGATGTTGTGAATGACAGTACCTCCCAAAGATAACAATGTCACAGAGGAGACCAATCTTTACAAGATACAGGAGACCAATTTGCTAAAGATATGAGTTTTAAGTTTTAGGTGGAAAAGATTATTTACTTGAAAAGTATTTTTTTTTTTTTAAAGTGGAGGAGCAGGGAGTCCTTTCTCTTTACCATCAAGCAGCTTGAAACTGCTGTGAGAAGCCCCCTGGAATTATCTTTTGGAAAAATGTTTAATTTTTCTTCCAGGGAGTAACAAAGACCAGGAACACGGGAAGATAAAGGTTGTTTTGTCCTGTCTACATCCTTTATAGGCCATTATTTTGTGGATAAAGCCCTCAAAACAATTCTGTGCCTTTTGAGGAGGGCTTAATCTGACGTGAAATTGACACCTACTCAAAGCAGCATATTATTCTGAAGGGTTTATTATCCTCTAAGGAACCAATAGTTTGGGACATAAAGTCTCTGGGACAAAATCAGGCTTCCAGGCATTTTGTTTTCAAAGCCTTGAGCTGTTGCCTAAACTTGGGGGCTCTATTCACTGCTGCTGTATTCTTGAGATATGACCTAATCTTTTCTAGCAATTTCCAGTGACAAGCTATTGTAAAGGCATGTATCTGTAAACTCATTTTCCACCTCCCATTGATTTTGGAATGTATATGGTCCCCCCCCCCCCCAAAAAAAGGAGGGAGAGAGATATTAAGTGTTAGCTTTACAAGACTGTAGGCAATGGGTGGAAGTAGGTTACTCTGGGCAAAACTATGGCACCTTGAAACTAATGGTGAATAAACAAAAAGATGACCCTAGCCGGTTTGGCTCAGTGGTAGAGCATTGGCCCATGGACCATTGAGTTGTGGGTTTGATTCCGGCCAAGGGTGCATACCTCCATTGCAGTTTGTCCCTGGCCCTGGTCGGGGTCCCAGGGTCATGCAGGAGGCAACCAGTCAATGTGTCCCTCTCATGTCGGTGTTTCTCTCTCTCTCTCCCCCTCCCACTCTGTCTGAACATAAATAGAAAATTATCCTTGGGTGAGGAATGAAAAAAAAAAGATGAACAAAAAATAGTGATAGATAATGACCAGTGGGCTTATAGGCCTCTACTTTTCCAAGATGAGTGCTGATGTTCAGGCTCCTGATAAAATATTTTTAACTTGTGAATATTTTCAAATTTTCTCTTTCTCTACTATAAAAGGGGGATTCTGGAGGCCCACTATTTGTAGACAAGACCATGGAATCTGCATTCTTGCTGGGATAACTTCCTGGGGAGCTGGTTGTGCTAGAGGTTGGGCTCCTTTAAGAAATAACTCCAAGAGGACATTACATGGCATTTTCTCCAAGGTGTTTGAGCTGATGACGTTTATCACTCAAAAGGTGATCACAGGTGGGTTGTCATTGCTGTGAATTGTTCCTTTTGCCTTTCATTGCAACTCAAAAATTGATCACACCTAATTATTTCATACTTTGATATATCAGATATAATCAGGACTAAGCTTTAAAACAAAACAAAAATATGGCTGGTTTTCCATTTGTAATCCAATGTATGTAAACTTCTGCCTCTGAATTCGTGAGCACTGATATCTGTCAATTTAACTTGAACATCAAATGGATCTTCGAGTTTATGTTCATGTAAATTTTTATGAAATATGGTGTTTATTTTTGTATTTCTGAGATTTTAAAATACAAGAAAGGATTCAGAAGATTCTTTATTTATTTCGTTGACTTTTTCCCTCTAAATTACTCAAGAGCACTGAAATAAATTACTCCTTTCCCACTCTCCCATTCAGCCGTTTTCATTTTATTTGTCGACAGTAGGAAAATAAGGGAGGCTTTGCAGAGTCATTTTTGTTCGGTGACACTAAAATCTAGAACAGGAAAATCAATATGGGTTTGGAGACTAAACCTGTCCTCAAGGCACTCTCTAACTATTTGGGAAGGCAAAGAAGTAAATGACCGCTGCAATCAAAGGTGATCTTTGATAACGCAGAGAGCTGTCCTATCGCAGAGGGGAGTCAGGGACTCAGTACTGAGGGACAGAAGGTTTTCCATGCAAAGGGGCAGCGTCTTCACCAGAAAATGACACAAAGGGCAACCGCTGCAGGTAAAAAGAGACATGAGAAAATACGATTTAGAGAACCAGTGGTTTAGTATAAGTACCAATTTTTTTAAGGCCAAGACCCGGAGCAGCAGAATATCGTGTTCTCTCCGCCCCTCCCCCATTACAGTCCCCGATGAGCCACCTGACTGATGGTCTGGAGCGCGCTGCTGGGCCAGCTGAACGCCAGCCCCACCTCGGAGTGGAGGTGGCTCTCCCTTTGGTCTTCCGAGTAAAAGTGTTCTCTTCATTGCGGTCACTACAGGGGGACATTCTCTCCCAGTGGCAACGCTATTCGTGTTGTATCATCTGGGAGTGAAGGTTACAAAGCCTAACAAACCCTGAGCAAAGGTTAGCAGTAACATTTTTAAATGGCAATGAAATGAAGCGATAACCACTCATTCCACAATCAAATGCCTATCAGAACGTGACAAGTACTTTATTTAAATAACACTTCCTTAAGACCATCTTTCTTCTCCCTATTTCTTCTAGCCTCCAATAATTAAAATGTGACACTGTCATCTGAAATTTCTGAGTGAGTGATAGAGACTTGCCATGTCATTGCTAAAATGCATATACTTTTAGTATCTTTAAACAAAGGCATTTCATTATAACCCAGGATCACCTAGTTAGAGACGGGGAAACACCACATTAGTTCCATATACTATTAATTTGAGAGGTTCAGTGTGATTCATGATTTGAGAGAGCTGGATACATGTTTAATCTGAAGCACTGTAAGAAAAGAACATTATGGATACTATACAGCCATATAAAAAAATAAAATCTTGACGTTTGTGACAATATGGATGGACAGTGAAGGCATTATGCTGAACAAAATAAGTCAGACAGAGAGATAAATACTGTATGATCCCACTTACATGTCGAATTAAAATAAAAATAAAAACTAAGCTCATAGATACAGAGAACAGATTGGTGGTTGCCAGAGGTGGGGGTAGGGAGGTGAGCAAAATGGGTGAAGGGGGCCAAAAGGTACAAACTTTCAGTTATAAATAAGTCATGGGGATGTAATGTAAAGCATGGTGACCATAGTTAATATTGCATTGCATATTTAAAAATTGCCAAGACAGTAGATTTTATAAGCATTCATTACAAGGAAAAAAAAATGTAACTATATGTGGTGATGGATATTTACTAAAGTTACTGTGATTGTTTTGCAATATATACAAATATTTAATTATTATGTTTTATACCTCAAACTAATATAATGTTATATGTTAAAATTATACCTTAATAAAAATTATGTAGGAGGAAAAGTATGTCAGATGAAGTATGTGAGATGATTAATTAATAAATCTATTATATTAAAGAAAGAGAAAAATGTGTCATTTAGACATTTTCCTAATGAAGTCTGCAAATATATGTCTTGGTCACAGCACCTAACAACATATTCATTCCCAGAAATATAAATTACACAATATAAATTGTAAGAGCTTCGAGCTGACTCTGTACCATATGTCTTGAAATGTTGTCCATAACTGAAGTAAATAATCAACTTTCCCCCTATGCTTTGGAAGATTGTAGGCCTCAGGGAGCAGTGTTATTTGGAGGAAATGGGAAGATCTATTACTCCCATTCCAAAGAGGGAACTAGTCTCATAATCGGTATGTATCCCAGGTAGGAATGACTCCTGGAATTTCCCCCTAAACAAGGTCATTTAAGGATTTGTGTTGTAGCTAGGATTTCAATTTTTTTACCTGATTAACATAAAAGTCTGTATAGGTTTTCTGCAATTTTCTGGTTGGAAAATATTTGCTAATCAGTATGTCTGTAACTCATTAGAATAACTCATCAACACAAGTGGTATTAAGAGGGGAGCTTACCTGAACTGATGTATTGAAATGACTAACATTAACAACATCTGGTCGTGATAATTGTTATGGCAATTTAGTGGTTAATCTGTTTCACTTATTTCTGTAATAATGATAATATTATGTTAAGTGTTTCCAGGAAGATAGAAACTAGTTCATGATCTATAAGCTTCGATGTCTTTTAAATTTTTCTATATATCCTGTCTTCTATATAGCTAAAGACAGCTTTAAGGTTTAGAAATTAGTTTTGCAAGTACCTCATTTCTTTAAATGTTCTACATTCATTTTTTTAAATTTTTATTTAGCATTAAAAGGTATTCAAAGGTAGATGACAATTGTAAGAATTTATAATCTGGTAGGAGGAGAGAACTGGCCAAAAATAACTATATCATGAGACAAAAGATAAAATAAGCTTTATGATCCACACTACCCAGGGGTGTTGATACTATGGAAAATGGAGAGACTAATTCTCATTGCAGGGGGTTGTGAGGAATGTGTGTTGTGGTTGGGAGGGGTGAGGGTAGGGACGTTTTAGGTGAAGGATGTGGTATTAAAACTAGCCATTAAAGGATAGTTATGATTTTATAGTTTGTGAAGACTTTTGGTAGCTCTAATGTCTAAGAGTTTTCTACAGATCATCCCAGGCAGAGGGAATTGTCAGCAGTGTCAGGGATATGAAGACTATCTATCGGTTGTTGGAACAAGGTGTGTCCCGGTGCTGCTGGAGAGCAGTGTCAACGGACACAGGAACTGTGTCAGCAGTGGGCATTGAGGACAAAGAGAACGCTAAGGCCTTGACTATAGAGGACCATACATTTCATGTGACTACATTTAGACTTCATGCCGTAGGCAATGAAAGGCTCAAATGGTGGAGAGATTATAATTTATAAAATGAATGTAAATATTTTTACAAGTACAGGATGGAGATGAAGTAGCTTATTGTGGCTCATATTTAAAAGTCTAAGTTGACTTTCTGTGAGTGAACCTAGTAATGATATAATACCAATAAAGCTATTGCTGTCATTGCTTATTCTTCTTTTAGAAGAATAGCATGCAGAACAAAAACAAGAGTCCTGTCGTATTAGGGTTCTGGACAGAAGTAGGGAGGAGGTCTGTAAGTGCCATCTTCAGAGAGAGACATTGATATACTGGAAATTATTGAAAGACAATGACCAAGATGGAAAGAAATTCAAAACAGTGTCTTGGGAGATATGGTGGGAGGAACTAGAAATATTTTTGGACCGAAGAAGACTTGAGAAGAGGAAGAAACTGTCTTGATTTATGTGAAAGGCTATTAGAGAAGCAGCACTGGACTTTTTCTGATTAACGACAGAGCTGAGAATAAGGAACAGAGGGTAGATGTTAGGGGGAGGCATATTTCAATTCAATATAAAGTGGTTTCTAATTTGAGAGATTTCTGAGACTTAATGGACTGCCTCGGGAGGTAATAAATTCCCCTTATAAGTGGTTATTTGAGCAGAGCATGAATGGCTATGGGTGAAATTTGAAAAAGCAATTATATATTAGGTAAGAGACATGAAGATGACAGCCAATTTACCCTCAAACACAGAGAACCTGTCATTCCACTTAAGTAGTGAAGAACTGAAGAGATCTCTACAAGAAGAGCTTTCAGGACAAAGGGGGTTGGTAGTAGCATCAGATATTGCAAAAGTCGAAATGAGTCCTGATTAAATGCCATTAGATACGACAGTTCAAAATTTGGGTGCTGATTCAGTAGAAATTGTCTAATCAGAAGCTATATTTATACTGGGTTAAGAGATTGGTGAAGACTTAGTGTCTGTTCTTCACCAAATAGCCAAAAATATTTATTGAGGCCTTAAGATGTGTCAGGCACTAGTTTAGGTGCTCGTGATATGGCAGTGAGTGAAACAGACAAAAATGTTTCCCTTTGAGGGCAAGTTGAAAGGTGGAGAGTAGGGGTAACACAAGTAATGTTGCATATTATAGTAGAAGGTGGAAAGAATGTGCCCCCCCCCCAAAAAAAAGCAAGAAAGAAGGGTTAGAGAGTGGTGGATTGTGCAACATTTGAATTAAGGAAGACTGCTTTAAAGGTGATATTTGAACCTAGACTTGAATAAGGTGAGGAAGGAAATTATATGATCATCTTGGGAAGGGACCGTCTTGGCCGAAGAAATGGCATGTGTGAGGTGGGAAGATTCTTGGTATATTCAGGGAACAAGGAGATCAAAGAGCTTGAGCTAAATAGGAGGGAGAAGTGGTTTTGATTAGTGGTGGCCAAACTTACAGGACATAAGAAGGTTTATGGATATTGCTGGGAGTAAGATATGGAGCCATTGGAGGACTTTGAGCAGAGGAGGAAAATGAGCTGATACATTTTAAAAGGATCACTTTGGCTGTTGTATTGAAAATAGACTGTATGCCGGCCAGTGGCTCAGTGGATTGAGCATTGTCCCCTAAACTGAGAGGTCCCAATTTGATTCTGGGTCAGTACACATGCCCAGGATGTGGGCTCGATCCCCAGTAGGGGGCGTGGAGGAGGAAGCCCATCGATGTTTCTCACATCAGTGTTTCTATCTTTATCTCTCTTCCTCTCTCTCTAAAACATCAATAAAAACATATATTTAAAAAAGAAAAGAAAACAGACTGCAGACAGGCAAGACCAAGAGCTGAGAGATCAGCTACTGCAGTAATCCAGGTGATGATGACGTTGGCATTGACCAGGTTTGTAACAGGAGAGGTGGGGAGCAGTTGCAAAGCCACAGGATTTGCTAACAAGTTGAAAATTTGGGTTTTAAGAGGGAGAACTTTATGATGGACGTGAAGGTTTTCGGCCTTTGGAAAGGCAGGAGCTGCCATGGTTTGAGATGAGGAAGACAGTGAAGCAGTGAAGAGAAGGAGGGAGACAGCACAGTGGCTTTGGGAAATAGGTCAGTGGGACAAGAGACGCAGAGTTTTGTTCTTTGGAAATGGAGGCTTACCTGTCCTTATGGGCAGAAGAGATCGTAAGAGTGGGAAGTCGAGGGAAATACATGTTTGTGAAGAAAGTTTAATAAGAACACAACAGATAAAGAAGGTTTAGCTTTGGAAAGAAAACACTGTTCCTTTTCTGGAAAAGCAGCAAAAACTCTTGAGGTAATTTATAGGAAAGTTGAAGGAATGAACTCTAAATGCTGTCTTTGTAATGACAAGATTTCAGTTGCTTCAAGATCAGGGGATGAAGTTGAGATTAATAGTTAAGAAGATATTACATAGCTTTTAGGGAAGCAAAAGTCAACTAGGGAGAATAAGACTTTCAGCAATATCACAACTCAGGATTAGCATGAATTTGTTACATTTCAAGAAGTTTAAAACAAACCAGTTGTAAAATTTAGTATTATTTCACGTGCCACCAATAAAGAAAACATAATAAAAGCTGGGACACCAGAGTCCTCCAGTGTTGGGTTAGCCGAGGCATCAACCCACCCACATGGAAAGTTACAAACCTCAACCTTGGCACTGGATGTAGGGAGGCATAAAAATCTCACCCAAGAATTTGAATCATCATCTCATACAGATGTAGGTCTACAGTCTAAAATCCCCTATACCAAGTGCAGTCCAAAATACCTCAAGCGGAAAAATTTAGTCTTCAGCTGGGAGTACCCCCAGGTGACTGGCCAAAGCTAATACAAGTTCTTTCTGGAAAAACTCTTTGAATCCATTTCTAACAGAATTGTAAGATACTTCTGATTTTAGAATGTTCAAAGGTAAAAAGACATGTGTTTTAGAAATGTAATAAGGTATGGAGCCAATTTGCCTACTTAGAGACTTCTCCAGCATGCTAAGCAGCATTGAATGGTCCAAGGGTTTTATAAATTTCAAATGGAGTTGGTTAGCTAAGGGTAATGCAGAAAGAGATGACGAGAAGAGAAGTGGGAGTTACATAGTCTCTCTGGGCCTATTTTTATCCTGGCAGGTGGTAGCTCCGCTCAGGAATGGCAGCTACACGCTACTCAAGGGGGCTTCTTTTTCTATGCCCATGGGAGACATTGCATTTCTTAGAAGTTAGAAGAGTGCTTTGCATGTCATGAACACTGAGTGCATATTTGAATTAATAAATCAATGATTAATTTTGGTACCATCTCTCACTTAGCTTGACTAGATCCTCCAAATCCTTTTTAACTTAGCAATCGCTAACAAGAAATCAAGGTTGGCAAATGACTTGAAATCTGTTTCCCATCTCTGAGTTACAGATTTTGAGATGGAAAATAATTTAATGAAAGCAGAAGAAAGTACTGGCCTTTGAAATCATGAAGCCTAACCTGTATTTCCTATTAAATGAGATATGATGTGTCTCTTAATACTGATGCCAGTTTTCCCACTTGGAGAAGGGGAGTAAGTTCTCTCCTGTCTACTTCAGAGGGGTGTAATGAATATCAGAAGGGAAAAAAAAGTTAGATATGAGGTGCTTTTTTATTTTTTTTTATTATTATTATTTTTTATCCTCACCCGAGGACATTTTTTCATTTTTTGTTCAGGTAGAGTGGGAGGGAGAGAGAGGAAGAGAGAGAGAGAGAAACATCGACGTGAAAGGGCCACATCGAGTGGCTGCCACCCACACGACCAACCAGGTCCGGGGACAAACTGCAACTGAGGTATGTGCCCTTAGCGGGAACTGAACCCGGGTCTCTCTGGACCGCAGGCCGACGCTCTAACCGCTGAGCCAAACCGGCCAGGGCTTGAGGTGCTTTTTTAATTAAAGTGCTTAAAAGGTGAGCTTTATCATATTTTAGGTGGCTTATTGCTTTTTAAATTGAAGTGCTTAAAAAGTGATTTTAATAATAATTTTAGGCAGCCTATTCTTACATCTATGTTCAGGATGATGGAACTGAATAGAAAAAGAGTAAAGTGAGGAATTTCTGGTTAAAGAGGAGATATTTGGTAAGAATTATTGTGTTTGGTTTTTGGGCATAATAGAGTTGGATAATTTCTACAGTCCTGCCATTTGTTGCATAGAAGGCAGTGGGACTGTAAATCAGCATAAAGTTGTTGATAAATACCACCAGGTATTAGAAAGAAATTCATTCTGACATGTTGGATTCCAGGCAGGATTGCTTTGTACTGAGATGAGCATGAGACATGGAAGACACTGAGGGTTGATGGCCCACTGAGATTTCTTTTCTTAAAACTATGAATTAATGTAGGAAAATAAGGATGTAAAGGATTGTGTGTTGAATTATGTACGACTACTTTCAAAATGTTTAGACATGTTTCTAATGATGTTAGGAAAAGGTCACAGCTGACCTTACTGGGAGTTAGCGAGACGACATTGCAGCCACAGAGACTTTGACTTGGACTGACATATGCTGCAGGGTCAGTCCACAGCTCATCATTCATATTCAACTTCTGGGTGAATATTATGAATTTTCAATTGGACTTAGAACAGAGAGATGAATCTTAGGTTTCTTCAATTCATAGTTCATAATTCTAGCATTTTATGACAAAATGAAATTTCAAAGGTGGTTTCTGTCCATTCTCTAATTCATACTCCTCTGTTTGTTGGATAAACGTCAGAAATTCAAGCATAAACAAATTTTTTTCACATAAGAAATTTCCTTTTTTTTTTCCTTCTAATATCCTGTAAAATTCTATTGTTGGTAAGTTATGAGCTAAAGCCCAGATAATAGACCTTATCTGTCACACTGGACTCTGCCATTTATTATCTTCCTCTATCTAGCATATGCATGTCTAAAATAATGGTACCAGAAGATAAAATTATCCTGTTAAAATTTACAAGCATAGACATAGAAAATCGAGTTGGCTGTGACCATGATTGTGTATCTGCAATCAAGCAACAGAGTGCTCAATAGTAAGTATGTTACATTTATTTGCATTTGTCATTTTATAGTTCCTAAGAGACCAAAGGGGTATTACAGGATCTGAAATTAGATTTCTGTACACAGGGCAATTATTTTTCCTTGCACATTGTGCCCTTCTTGAAGGGGACAGGCCATTTGCAGTAAAGGTGGAACCAATGCATATGGACAAGCCGTTCTCTATTCGTTTTTCAAGTTTAATAACTGTATTGAATGAAATTGGCATAATGGTCAGAAAACTTCTTTTCAAAGCAACGTTTTCTTATTTATTTCTGTGCCACAAAAGGGGTGCCTGTTTGCCAAATTTGATAAAGACAGATGAGCAAATGGAAGAAAATATAAGGCAATCATAACCCTACTACCTAGAGATAAATGATATATATTTATGTACATAGTAAGTGTACATACTGAACTTTATTGTACATTGTACAATCATGTCATTATATTTATGATGCAATAGATCACTTTGTGTCATTAAATTCCTTTTATTGAATACATCATAAGCTATATAAGTGTAACTGATATATTTATTTAATTAAAATACTATGTGTTAAGCATAATAGAGAGTTCCTAGAGCTGGTATAGACCCACACTCTAGGTTTTCATAAGACCAGTGGTTAGGGCAAATCTCTCTTCACAAATGTTCAAAAGACTGCTATAGACAAGGTATTGTTTGAAGAGTTATACTATTTATTAACTAAATGATTTAATGCTTCAGGCTTGCTATTTATTCAGTAATCATTCTTTCAACCAATCATTTGTTCAAATCAGCTGTGCACCAGATATCACACCAGGTCCTGGATATATGAGAGTAAATACAGTCTCTACTCTAACGAGCATGCGCTTTGGTGAGGTAACTGAAGGTGTACAGCAAAGTAGGAAATAACATAAAGTCGGAACTGTGCTGTGGTCATTCAGAAAGGGCAGCTCTACTTTCTGCTGGGTGCCTGGGAAGGTTTGTGGGAGAACTGGACTTTGAGTGAGACCTGAAGGATGAATAGACTTTGGACATGGGAGATGGGGTATGAGAAAGGGAATGGAATATGAAATCATGGACGTAGAGAGAGTGGAGTGAGTCAAGGGATCACTGGGTAGTTTTTGTGCTTAGAACAGAGAGTTCATGGAAGATAATATTAGGAAAACAAGCATATGTACAAGTTTGTTTCTGCCATTGTTTTGGTAATCTTATTTCAATTCCTTTTCCTCGTAAGGTAAGGTCTGTGGAGATACATTGCCCCCACCACTGCTGACAGAGTCCAGGGAGGCCATAGTTACCTTGGTTTCTGATAGAGAACACAGTGGCAGCAGCTTTGAGCCTACCTTTCCTGCTGCACAAAAGAACTCGGACGGTAAGTATTTCAGATATTTAACTCCCTGCTAGATTTCTTTGATCTGGGGGTGAGAAAGAGAATGCCTTTGGCTGTTGACTTTGGATTGCCTCAACACTTCCATAGATTCCGGGTGCAGGAGTGTGACTACTTTGGTGGGAGAAGAGATGATTCACTACTCCAGTTACCCAGACTTACATCCCAAGAATTTAAGGCACCATGGGTTCATTCATGCTCCAGAGAAACACGTTGTGAAGGTAAGCAATGAGTGAAGCTCTCAACTTCCGAGAACCTAGCCACATCAGTCAGGGAGAACGGGTGTCATCTGTACTGTGAAAACGCCATCATGACCAGGAGCTTCTAATTGCCTTTCATTTTTTTTTAAAGCCCTAAAGAGGATTTATGTATGTGATTTTCAACGTTTCAACAGTTCAAAAAATAACACAATGAAAAGTATGCCTCCTTCTTATCCAACTCCCATCCCACCTCCTGCTGCCAAACACTGATAGGTTTCTCAGTCATCCCTAGACAAATGTTCTGAGCACTTTCAAATATGTGTGTATTTGTATTCCTTGGTGATATTTTTTCTTACGTAAAAATGTCTCAAAAATCTTCCTAGATGAGCCCACAGAGCTCTTTTTAACAGCTGCATAAAATTGTATTGTGCAATATTTCATAATTTCTTAAACCAGTTCCCTACTAACAGACATTCAGTGAGGGTCCTGTCTTGGCCCATCCCAGCAATGCTGGTACATCCCTGTGTCACTGAGTTTGGACACATGTCAATGAACATAATTCCCAGAAGTGGACTTGCTGGGTCAAAGGGTTTGTCTATTTAAACCTTGTCGTCATTGCCAAATCGCCCTCCAAAGAAGCTGTGGTTATTTTCACTTCTATCAGTAGAATAGAAGGGGGTTCCTGAGAGCCATTTAATGTACAGAGGGAAGCTTTTAAAGTTGATCTCTTCTCTTCCTTGACCAATTCTCTGGTTATGTTTATAATTTGTGCAGTTGGCATTTGAGGACTCTTCTACTGAATTTAACCAAAACTATGTTTATAATGCTGTTGTGATTTATGGTGGTCCTGAAGAGGAGCATGAGTTAAGTGGGTGACACTCTGTCCTTTGAACTTACTCTGAAAGGCATGAGTCTAACCAGGGCAATTGCAGCATGGGCTGGCTTCCTGGTACCCAGAGGTCGAATGGGAATGGGTTTCTCATGCTGGAAACTCATGATGCCATACACTTTAGCTTTAAAACCCATGAGCCAGCAATAGATTCACCAGTAAAATTTGCAATAGAAACATGCAGCATTTGAGGAATGCTTCAGAATATTTGGAAGGTGAACAAGAAATCCCAGGGAGAAGAAAAGAAAAACAGTAACAATGAGTACATTTGGGGCAGTTACTGAAAGTATATTTTTAAACTTCCTTTTTACTGTATTAATCCCTTTTATTGCTGATATTTCTATTTTTATGTCCAAGAAAAGAAATGAAAAAAGGTAACAAGAAATAGTAATGTCTACTTGAGTCTTAAAGGTTAATTTTTTTCAACTAAAATATCAAATATGCTTTTAGTTTTGACCTACCAATTTACTGAATATACAAAATGATCCCTTCCAACCATGTAGCCACTTCCTTAACACCTGTGCTAGGTGTTTGTGTGGGATGGAGACCAGGAATCCAGGTAGGTTCAGAATGCTCATTGGATATTCAAGCAGGTGAGGGGAGGCACAATTCTCTGATCCAACAGAATGGCATCTGTATGGAGGAGAGTTTAAGTGAAGCAGATTTCAAATGTTACTTGTTCACATACAGTACGACCATGTTCTGTTTGGAAGAAAAAATACCAAGTTTGGGGTTTTCTTTTACTTGCCTCTTCTCATGTGTACAAATTAACAATCAAATAAGGTTTCTATGTGTACTAAAAATCAGATGTCTTTCCTCTCTCTTTAGAGATTTTTCCTGTGAGATAGAACTACAGTGTGTGATCTTGAAACTAGTGTTCAATTCCCACATAAAATAAAAGGATGTGCCTATAAACCAAAGCTGAAGAAAACCAAAGTTGCTGGGAAATAATTATTAGGATGATGCTTTACCTGTTTTCCGGTGGCAGTGTTTTTCTTGTTTTGTTTTGATTTATAACTATCAATCTTTACTAAAATTTTGCAGCTAAACTTTGCAGAACCTTCAACCCTCTCCAATATTCAGTCCTGGTAACATGATGGTGATTTGTTTCAAAAGTGATGCTGAATAGGACTTCTGAGGCTTCAAGCTGAGATTCACCTTTTTGCCCTCGGGTCAGTATAAACAGCAGTTAGTGATTTTCACTTATGAAAAGGGGTATAGGGAAGATCATTTATCCATGCGTATCTAATTTAGGGTACTTGAATCACTTCAATGGCAAGGTAAACGTGCAAATGCCTGGGCCCTCCCCCAAAGATTTAGATTCTGTAGACCTAGGGTGGCACCCGGAAATCTGTGCTTTGTTAAAGCACCTCAGGTGAAGCCAAGAAACTACATTTACTAGATAATCAAACATTTTCTGAGCACATTATGTTAAAAGTAGACAATTCAGATCAGAGAACGTAATTCAGAAATGAAGTTTACGATCTCTGTTTTTGGATGTTTGAGGGTTTTGAAGGATAAATAGGTTTGTAAGGCATTCTAAAGTAGCCTTTACCCAGACAAAAGAACTATCATCTGCAAAGACCATGATGTGAAAGAGAATGAGTTTATGTACAAAAAGCTACAAATAATTCAACATTGTTCGACTTTTGGAGAGAGTAATAGAAAAGCAAGTTAGACTATGATGAACACAAGGCATTAAATTTTAACTACCAGAATAATAAGATAGGTAGCTAGCATTTCTTGATTACTTGCTCTGCACCAGTTATAAACTAAGCATTTTACATGTATTATCCCATTTATTCCCCCTTAAGAACCTAAGAGGTTTGTATACTGCTCCCCTTCTCACAGGTGAGGGGATAGAGGCTTAGAGAGGTAATTTTCCCAAAGATGCATTGCTAGTAGGGAATTCTGGGGCCAGAATTCACACCTTCGTGGTAATGTGGAAGATGGATAGGAAGATTAGGGTGAACTTACATGCAAAGCCAGTAGTGAAAAAGTCATTGTAAGAATTTATTCTAGATATATTAATTGATTAGACATGTTGTGGGAAAGGGGGTATATGAAGGAAAAAAATGTATAGCATGATTTTCAGAATGCTAGTTTGAATGTCTATATGGATGGTGGAACCACTAAGTAATACAGACAAATATAAGACCATTTGACTGTTAAAATCAATTGATTCCATTCGAGACACGTGAATATTTTATGAGCTTGTGGGACATCTAGATGGTGATGTCTAGCAGTCCTAGATTCTAGAATTCAAGAAAGAGATTTAGATTGAGGAGACAAACTTGGAAGTCATCTATATGTAAATTAATAAAAATAGAGTTATGAATGGTACTTTGTGGAACATCTTTCAGGCTGAAGAATAAGATCCTGAAAAAAAACCTGATACTGAGAAAAGGCCATAGATATATCCAGAAAACCAAGAAAGTAATTTTATGGAGCCAAGGAAGGAAGAAATGCTAAAGGGGTCAGATACAATGGGACTATTAAGAGATATGCCACAAGTCATATCCACTGGGATCTGGCACTTAGCATTTGAAAGGTAGTATTAGTGAGCTTGGTATTACAGTGGTTTTATAATTGACCTGGGTGAGCAAGTAGTCAGCTAGTATAGGCAACTCCATTTTTTTTATTAGATTTTTCTTCTATAGATTCTTTTTTTTTTTATATATATGAATTTTTATTTATTTTTTTGTTACAGATATTTTACCTTTTTACCCCATTGGCACCCCCCACCCCACCCCCCCCTTCACCCTGTCCCCGGCTTAGTTGTCCATGTCCATTGGTCATGCATACATGCATATAAGTTCTGTGGTTTATCTCTTCCCACCCCCCCACCCCCATCCCCTCTTCTGAGGGATGTCAGTCTGTGCCCTACTTCCATGTGTCTGGGTCTACTGTATTCCTCAGACTGTTATGTTCATTATATTCCGTATATAAGTGAGATCATGTGGTATTTGTCTTTTTCTGCTTGGCTTCTTTCACTTAGGATAATACTTTCCAGGTCCCTCCATGTCGTCTCAAAGGATAAGAGATCTTTCTTTCTTACTGCTGCATAGTACTCCATTGTGTATATGTACCACTGCTTTTTTATCCATTCGTCTACTGGTGGACACTTGGGCTGTTTCCAGATCTTAGCTATTGTAAATAGTGCTGCTATGAACATGGGGGTACATATATTCTTCCTGATTGGTGTTTCAGGCTTCTTAGGGTATATTCCCAGCAGTGGGATCACTGGGTCAAATGGAAGTTCAATTTTTAATTTTTAGAGGTAGCACCATATTGTTTTCCATAGCGGCTGCACCAGTCTGCATTCCCACCAGCAGTGTATTAGAGTCCCCTTTTCTCCACACCCTCGCCAACACTTGTTGTTTGATGATTTGTTGATGGCGGCCATTCTGACAGGTGTGAGGTGATACCTCATTGTTGTTTTAATTTGCATCTCTCTGATGATTAGTGATGTTGAGCATTTCTTCATATGTCTTTTGGCCATTTGTATGTCCTGTTTGGAGAGGTGTCTATTCAGCTCCTCTGCCCATTTTTTAATTGGGTTCTTTGTCTTCCTTTTGTGGAGTTGTATGAGCACTCTATATATATTGGAAATTAACCCCTTATCTGATACATCATTGGCAATGATGTTCTCCCATACAGTGGGTTGCCTTTCCATTTTGATGATTGTTTCTTTTGCTGTGCAGAAGCTTTTTAGTTTGATGTAGTCCCATGTGTTCATTTTCTCCTTTATTTCTGTTGCCTTAGGTGATGTATCAGTGAAAATTCTGCTCGGTATGATGTCCGAAATTTGTTGCCTACATTTTCTTATAGAATTTTTATGGATTCACGGGTCACATTTAAGTCTTTTATCCATTTTGAGTTTATTTTTGTGTATGGTGTAAGTTGATGGTCTAGTTTCATTTTTTTGCATGTAGCTGTCCAATTTTCCCAACACCATTTATTAAAGAGGCTGTCTTTACTCCACTGTATGCTCTTGCCACCTTTGTCAAATATTAATTGAGCGTATTGCCTTGGGTCCATTTCTGGGTTTTCAGTTCTGTTCCACTGGTCTATATGCCTGTTCTTGTGCCAGTACCAGGCTGTTTGGTTACAGTCGCTTTGTAGTATAACCTGATATCTGGTATTGTGATCCCACCTACTTTGTTCTTCTTTTTCAAGATTGCTGTGGCTATTCGGGGTCTTTTTTGGTTCCATATGAACTTTTGAAGTATTTGTTCTAGTTCTATGAAATATGTCGTTGGTATTTTGATGGGGATTGCATTGAATCTATAGATTGCTTTGGGCAGTATGGACATTATAATGATGTTAATTCTTCCAATCCATGAACAGGGTATGTGCTTCCACTTTTTTATATCTTCCTCTATTTCTTTTTTCAATGACCTGTAGTTTTCTGCAAATAGGTCCTTTACTTCTTTGGTTAAGTTTATTCCTAGGTATCGTAATTTTTTTGGTGCGATGGTAAATGGGATTGTTTTTTCAGTTTTTCTTTCTGTGACTTCATCATTGGCGTACAAGAATGCCGTCGATTTCTTGACGTTAATTTTGTATCCTGCTACTTTGCCAAATTCATTTATTAAGTCTAATAGATTTTTGATGGAGTCTTTAGGGTTTTCTATGTACAATATCATGTCATCTGCAAATAATGACAGTTTCACTTCCTCCTTTCCAATTTGGATCCCTTTTATTTTTTCTTCATGTCTGATTGCTGTGGCTAAGACTTCCAGTACAATGTTAAATAAGAGTGGCGAAAGTGGACATCCCTGTCTTATTCCTGTTCTTAATGGAAATGTTTTTAGTTTCTGCCCATTGAGTATGATGTTGGCTGTAGGTCTTTTATATATGGCCTTTATTATGTCGAGATATGATCCCTCTATTCCTACATTGCGGAGCGTTTTTATCAGAAATGGATGCTGGATTTTGTCGAATGCTTTTTCATCATCTATTGATATGATCATGTGGTTT